CAGTAAGGGAAGCTACTTCCTCCTGGTCTAAAGAATAGAATCTGGCTGGGTGGTGGTGGCACAGGCCTTTAATCCCAGCATTCGGTAGGCAGAGGCAGGTGGATCTCTGGGAGTTCGAGGCCAGCCTGGTCTACAAGAGCTAGTTCCGGGACAGGCACCAAAGCTACAGAGAAACCCTGTCTCAAAAAAAAAAAAACCAAAAATAGAATAGAATCTGGATTCATCCTAAAGCCTAAAACATTGTATATTATTGTTCCCTCCTTTAAGAATCCATTCAAGCCTTTAATCCCAGGACTCTGGAGACAGAGGCAGGCGGAACCTCAGGTATACAGTGGGCTCAGGGCCAGCCTGGGCCATGTAAGACTGCCTCAAGAAAAACAAGGCCAGGTGTGGAGGTGCACACTTTAATCCCAGCACTCTGGAGGCAGAGGCAGGCGGCTCTCTGAGTTAAGAGGCCAGCCTGGTCTACAGAGTGAGTTCTAGGGCTACACTGAGGAACCCCGTCTTGGGAGGAGGGGGAAGAGTCCACTCAACTAGACCTGTTGATTCCCCTGAAGACACGCCCGGGTTAGGAGTTAAGGCCATCTTTTAAGCAGGGGCACATTTCCAGGCCAGCAGCCCCTCCCTAGGAGCAGCTGGTGGCAGACCTTCGCTGCTGAACCTCCACTTTTCAGATGCTCGCTCAGAAGCACAGCATCTACCCCCCCCCCTTCTCTGGTATCCGCAGAGCTCCGCTCAAGACCCTCTCTCCCGCACTTCAGCTGCAGTGACCATCGCCCAGCCTGTCTGTTCTCTTCCATCCCACCTCAGAAATCCTGGCTTTCTCTCCTTCAGCTGCCTTCCAGGAACCTGCTAAGATAACTTGACTGCCCTATTATTTTTCTCTGAAACTCTAACAAAATGGTACTCAAGCTTCAAGATTTCAGAGGACAGTACTAACACCTGAGAGCAGGCCATGCCGCTCAGGAGCTTGGAACCAACCACCTATCTCAGGAGGCATCACCAGCTCACACTGCCAGGGAGAGCGCTAGAAAGAACTAGGTCAAAAACCACGTACCTGGGCTTTGAAAGTTCTCCTAAGAGCAAAGGTTTCACAGGGTTCAATAGACGTTTGCTGGAGCCAATCAGCAGTCCCCTTGTCCGTTTCTATTTTAAACTACACCTCCCATGAGCTCTTTGAAGCAGGAATGCCGCTGCTAGATAGTAGGATCCAATTGCCTATGGTGCTAATGGGAAATGTAGTCTTTTTTTGGTTTTCTCCATTTCTCATTAAAGGAGGATCTTAACGATCAGGGAGAGGGGTTTAGGTGAGAGAATGACACAGGTTTTCATTTGAGATCTCTCTTTACTTCCATATCTTAATGACGGGGGCTCTCAGTTCTGCTTGTCTACCAACACACTACTGCAAAGGAAGGCAGGTAAACCACAAGCCTCGCGTCCTCAACGGGATCCCTGGAGTTTTCGCTAGGGCCTTGGGGATGGCAAGCACCGCACCATACAAACACGCCGGAGCACAGGGCAGGGCTACTCACCGGGCTCTCGGTGGCCTGGTTTTCCTCTGGATGGGGTGCCGCGCGGTCCAGGGGTACAGCCAGCACAGCGGACAGCATCAGTAGAGGTGGTAGGAGAAGGAAAGGGGCCCCGCGAGGCACAGAGGTAGGCATCATGGCTGGTCTGTGATGAGAGACTGAGAATGGCTTTTTGTTGTTTTGCTACGGTTTTTTGAGACCTGTTTAAGTAGCCTTGGTTGGTTTTGAATTCTTGATCCTCCTGCCTCTCCCTCCCAAGCGACTTGTAGCTGCGCATTACTACCCCAGCTAAGGCTGTCCCAACCCGAATCCGGCTAGGCAAACGAGTGGCACGCCTCGGTGCCATCTCCATTTGCAAAAATGAAGACTCCAAGCGTTTCGTCACCTGGAACCCAGGATGCCAGGCCTCCAGCCTCCTTTTCCTACAGCGCAGTCCGTAGACATTCATCTCGGTTCCCTCGAAGCAGGGAATCCTACCCTGGACCGAGATCCCAGGCCCCTTAGGCTCCCCTTCTCACCGGCCTAGCGAGACCCGAAACCCTGAATACCGCAAGCTGCAGCCCTCCGCCCTCCGCTACCGAACGCCCCTCACCTCTCCTACCGCGGAAGGCGTTTTCCCACGCTGGGACCTCCGCCGGGTTTTTGGTGATCTTCCTCCTAAGTCACTCCCACTTTTCCACACGCAGAGGACCCGCCCCCAGGATACTGATTGGTCCACGCTGGCTCAGAGCTTCCGCCCGCGTTTGCAGCCCCGCCTCTTTCCGATGAAGTTCCCTTACTTTCGAAAATTTCTGCTTTCTTGGAAGCTTACATTCTTCAACGTGACATTTCCTGCGTAGTTTTCAAATAAAAGTCAAAGCCCTGAATGCGGGTGGGGGTGGGAAGACCAACTTTTGCGGACATCTTGCCGCTGTGTCTCCTGGGAATTGTAGTTTTCTCATTTATTTTCGCTTCACAAGTTCCTGCAAGTTTAGTGGCACGCAACTGCATAGTATATTATTATTATTTTTTAGACAGGGTCTCACTATGTAACCCTAGCTGGAACTCTGTGTAGACCAGGCCGGCCCAAGCGCTGACCCCCAAGCGCTGAAATTAAAATACCAAGACTCCCAGACTCCCAGCACCCCCCCCCCCTTTTTGAGAAATGGTTTTTTACATCCCAAACTGACCTCGAAGAGATAGGAGCGCTTACAGAGAAGGAATGTTTTGATTTCCCTGCCCTCTTATCTCCACTTCCCCAGTGCTGAAATTACAGGCGTAAGACACTAGGCCTTGACCCTATCAATTTCTTAAATGCTCTATATGTAGAAGTGTATTATATTGCTAGGTAGTTACTCTTGGGTCACTTTAAGGAACGCTGGCTTGTGGTTCCAATTCAGAACCCCCAGAACAAGGGATCTGTCTGCTTCAGTGGCCTGGAGGCATTACTCTGTTGGACATGGATCGTGAGGGGCCAAGAAGAGGGCAAGTCCCTGTGGGAATCTCCTTTTCTGAGAGTGTCCAGCTGTGTTTAGAGTTTTAGCATCTCAGCAACACCATGAGATCTTCAAGCTGGCGCTAGGGAGGGGTGGCACCCCTGGGATTCCAGACAAGTGAAGATTGAGGGTTTGGGACTTGTGACCCTAAGCCCCGAGTCCCAATACTTAGAAGCAGGACAAGCCTTCCGTACTTGGTAGAAAGGTGGATTTTTGTGTTCCCAATAGTGCTTAAAGCTCGACACAGGCAGCTTAGTCTCAGGTGGGAACTGGGATTCGGGTTGTCAGGGTTCAAAAGAAAAATGAAGGCAGATGTCAGATATCGGAGGGTGGTCTCTATTGAGATATGGAATCTGGGTCTTGATTATGCCTTCCTAATTCTCTAGAACGTCTCAGGAAAATGAACCATGGAAGAAAGAGTGAGTGGGGAAGCCTAATGGGCAGTGGGTTGGGGAGGAGAACGTCGATGCGCACTACAGGGATGCGCACTACGGGGATGTGCACTTCAGGGATGCGCACAACAGGGATGCGCACAACAGGGATGCGCACAACGGGGATGCGCACTAAAGGGATACGCACAGCTCTGGGCTCAAGCTTCGTCTTCATGATCACCACTATCAACTCTGTAGGAAGGTGCCGGAGGCCTGGACTCCAGCCTCCCTTTGAAAGGCATACCGGCCTAGATGCTTAGGTCTGCCAGATGAAAGGAGCTTGGGACCTGGACTCTTGAGTCTCCCAAGATAGCTAGAGCCTGGGGGTCTCTGTTTGGGTCCTAAAGGGGGAGGGGCTGGGAGAAGGGGCATCATAACTGATCTAGAAAGCTCCCGTCCTGCAACTACTATGACATCACTGGCGCTCAGAACCCAAATAGGCCAAGGGGAGGGGCTCTCGCACAGACAAAGCTGCCCTGCCGGCTGTGGTCCTCAGCCTGTGTTTCTCTCAGGACCTTGGAGGATGAATTCTCGGGTGTAAGGCTGCAGAAGCTGGAACAACAGGTATGGGCCGGAATCCCACTCTTCATCTTCCCAACCTTCCCCGAGGTTTCTCAGAGACCCCAATCCCATGTTCGTTTTTTCTGAACATCAGGTTCTCAAATTAGGAAAAGAGAAAGTAGGAATTAGGTTTTATTTTGAAACAAGACCTTGCTGCCTAGCCCAGGCTGCTCTCCAGCTTGCATCTTGGCCCTGGAATTACAGTTGTGAGCCATTGTTCTTGCTTTGTTTTGCTTTAAACTAAATTTATTCTGGGATAGAGCACACGCACGCCATGGCACGCATGTGGAGACAACTTGCAGGAGCGGGTTCTCTCTTGACAGTGTAGATCCTGGGGCTAGAACTCAGGTAGTCAGGCTTGCTGGAATAGCGAGCACATTTCCCCGTGGAGCCGTCCGCTCCTCGGTCGCCTGTGCTGACCTCGTTCTTGCTCTCATCCTCTTCTGTCTCTGGACCTTACAGATGCCAGTCGTTCTACCTGCCTTTGTATCTTGAAACAGGGTCTCCCCGAAGTGTCTAGGCAGGCTTGGATAGTGCAATCCTCATGCCTCTGCCAGGATGGCAGCCCAGGCTGAGGAAATGTGTGAGGAGTGGAAGTTCTTGGGAGCTGGAGAGATGGCTCAGCAGTTAGGAGCACTGACCATTCTTCCAGGGGAGCTGGGTTCAGTTCACATGGCATCTCACAACTGTCTGTAACTCCAAGATCTGATACCCTCACAAAGACATGCATGCAGGCAAAACACCAATGCAAACAAAATAAAAATAAATTAATTAATAAAAAAAAAGTTTTGGAGGGCTGGATTCCTAGTTCTTGGAAGAGGAGTTGGAGGTAGATCTGATCTGACCGGAAAGGACTAGAGAGACTGAGGGACTGGGTATCTGGGACCTCAACGGAGGAAGGAGGAAGGGTACCTGGATTCTGCCAGGCCAATCTCACCCCGCCCACCTCTCTGGTTTCTGTCCTCACCACACACCCTTCTCGTTCCTACAGCGGCAGCTATTTGAGAAGAAACAGCGCAGGAAGCGCCAGGAACCCCTCATGGTTCAGGCCAATCCTGATGCTTCCCTGAGGCACCGGCGACCAAGGCGTGGGGACGATCGCTTCCAGAGTGACAGCGGCTGGGGACTTGGTCTGATGGAAGGGATTTCTGGGTGCTCCAGAGTGGGACTTATTGAACACTGGAGGGGGGAGCCTAGTGAGCCCTAGGCTGGGAACTTGGTGGATGGTGCTGGCTGCTGGAGGGGCTGGCCTATAGCTTTCAGGACTGGTGGGGCCTAATTGCATCAGAATAGGGAGTTTATGGTAGAGGATTGGGGACAAACTTAAGTGTGGGGTTTTATGAGGGAACAGGGGTGAGTGGAACCTCATCCATCCTGGGGCAGAAGATTGCTTGGGCTGTGGGTTTCTTAGAAGCCATTCCAATAAAACTGGGCCCTTGAGATTACAATTTCCAGTTGGAGTTTAGAGCCAGAGGGCCAGACCCAAAAGAATTCAGGAACTGGCTTTATCAGAACCTAGTAGAGTCTGAGGGAACCCGGACTCCCCAAAAGACAGAAGTTCTGCTGGGAGAGCAGGATTTCACTTTGTGTGTGTGTGTGTGTGTGTGTGTGTGTGTGTGTGTTACTAAGGATCAAAACCTAGGGTAACATGCACCCAGTCATGTGCCTTCCTGAGTTTTGTTTGGGATTTTGGGAGGTGATGCATGCATCTCATGCTGCAGCACAGGCTATCCCGTATCTTGCTATGTAGTGCAGGATTTGAGTCTGTCCTCCTATCTTCCTCAGGAGACCCTTTTTAAACGGGCTGCTTTGCACTTTTCCCCAGGCGCTGGGAGTCCTCTCCTCCAGAAGAACATAGCACAGACACATCTGCCCTCCGGGGCCCACAGTGCCCTGGCCACCATGAACTATGGTGGAGATGGTAGTGGCGAGAGGGCCCCCCTATTGTCACACAGAGGAGCAGGTAAGCTTGGGATTCCACCCTTTCTCTCCTGACATTGGGGTCATGTCTGGAGCCTCCTCCTCTCGCATCAAAGGGCCCTAAATCTGAAACTGTTTTCTCTAGTGTACACTCGGGGCACTGGTGCTGCTTTCCACCACCTATGCTGGCTCCCAGACAGCTCGGATTCAGATGTGGAGGAAGTGAGCATGGAGGATATCCCTGTCATCCCCCCACCTCCCAAGACACATATGGCAAACCGTCGCAGGGGCTGGCTAGCCTCCCCAGGACCTGGTAATTTTAGGGAAAGGGGAGTGAAATGTGGTCCCTGGGTCACATGACAAGTTGTCTTCCTTGCTTTGGTTAACAGCTTATCTGTGAGATATCATAACTCATGGGTCTCCCAGTTCATCTGTCTATCCCTGTTATAGTGTATTCAGATATAAGACATTATCACATCAGAAGTATTTATCTGCACTAATTTTGGGAGGGTCAATCTCTGTGTGTCCCTGACTGGCCTTGAATTCACAGAGATGCACTGGCTCCTGCCTCCTTGTGTTCTGGGATTAAAGGTATGTTGCACCACACCCAAATCATTAATTGTTATTATTATTTTCATTTTTCAAGACAGGGTTTCTCTTTGTAGATCTGACTGTCCTGGAACTTCCTCTGTAGACCAGGTTGGTCTCAAACTCAGCGATCCACCTGCCTCTGCCTCCCAAATTCTGGGAATAAAGGAATGCACCACCATGCCGGGCTCAGATTATTTATTTTGATTCTTTTTGGTTATGCGTATGTGCATCTGTGTTTGTGAATGTGAGTGCAGTTCCTACAGAGGCCACAAGAGGGTGTCAGACCCACTGAAGCTGGAGTTAGATGCATTTGTGAGCCATCAGACTTGAGCACTGGAAACTGAACTCTGTTTCTCTACAAGAGAATGTGGGGCTGGAGAGATGACTCAGCAGTTAAGAGCACTGGCTGCTCTTCCAGTTTGATTCCCAGCACCCACACGGTGGCTCACAACTGTCTATAACTCCAGTTCCAGGGAATCTGATACCCTCACACAGACACACATGCAGGTAAACACCAATACACATAAAATAAATAAATCTTAAAAAAAAAAAAGCAGAGGGAGCTGGTGAGATGGCTCAGTGGTTAAGAGCACTGCCTACTCTTCCAAAGGTCCTGAGTTCAATTTCCGGCAACCACATGGTGGCTCATAACCATCTGTAATGACGTCTGGTGCAAAAAGAAAAAAAAAAAAAAAGAAAAAAAAGCCTGGTATAGCTTATCTTTCCACCTTTCTAAAGTGACAACTAGAAAATCATGTTGCTGAAGCTGAGGACATAGCTCAGTGGTAAAACACTGACTAGCATGTACAAGGCCCTGGATTTGATCAGTAGATCTGCAAAAAAAAAAAAAAAAAAAAGCAGAATATACCCAAATGTGCCCTTGACTGTTAATCTATCTCTCCAGTCCCTCTACTTATGTTTTTTTTTCTTTTTTCTTTTTTTAATGAAAGCTTATTTGTTCGTTTACTTTTGGCCAGGAATTTTGATAGACACATGCCTTTAATTCCAATGTTGGAGACAAAGGCAGGTGGGTCTCTGTTCAAAGCAAGACCAGACTAGAAATCTAGCTTCGGGCTAGCCAGTGCCACACAGTGAGACACGACCCTGACCTCTCCCTGTGCATCCTCGGGGAGATCAGGAGGTCGGTCTTAGTCCTTGCAGATTCCACATGCATATGAAGCGCTCAGAGTGTGGTCAGGGGGAGAAACAGGCAAGGCAGCTGAGCACTTGAGTTCTTGCTCTAGCTGACAGTGCTGACCGCGCCCCCCCAACCCGGAAGCCATGTCCTGACCTGCCACTGCTTCTGCCCCCTAGGGATCAGTGAAGAGGAGGAGGAATCCAAGGAAGTGTCAGTGGAACACAAGGCACCCAGCCCGGCCCCAGCCCCTGCAGTGGACTCTGACAGGGTTCATGGAGACTCGGCATCCTGCATGGTGGGAGAGAGCACAGAGAAAAAGAACACAGAAGCAAGCCCACCAGCCTCCGACGTCAGGGTAGGCGGTACTAAAAACCCCGCAGCTCACCAGCCTCCGACGTCAGGGTAGGCGGTACTAAAAACCTGCCGTTCGGCCGGGCGATGGTGGCGCACGCCTTTAATCCCAGCACTCGGGAGGCAGAGGCAGGTGGATCTCCAAAGCCACAGAGAAACCCTGTCTCGAAAAACCAAAAACAAACAAACAAACAAAAAACCAAAAAAAACCCCAAAAACCTGCGGTTCGGCCTACTGGGTATGTTGACTAGAGGAGGTAGCAACAAGGTGAAAGTCTGTGCTCGGGCTGCATGTTTGCATTTCCTGCAGTTAGAAGTCCAAAGCAAAAGAGAAACCCTGTCTCGATCAAAAAAAAAAAAAAAAAAAAAAAAAGGACTCCCAGACTCCCTCCCCTAAAAAGAATACCATGAACAGGTGAACAGGTGACTACTAATAGAGACTACAAAGCATGATTTGAAGGGGTCATTTTGTAGTCAACATGACTACATGCCTGCTCTTACCACTGAGTGACACCTGAGCCCCTCACTGGGGGATTCTAGGCAGGGCAGCTGCTATGCAGCAGTGCCCGGCGACCTCGCTGGCATGTTCTGGCAGGTACTCTGGATTTATGTGTCCTAGAGAAGGACCTCACGCAGATTATCCAATAGGTCTGTGGAGCTGATGAAATTGTGAGTTGGACCAATGGACAGACGTGCCAGCGAGGTTGGGTGGGTTACGGCCATGCTTGATTAACAGGAAGCCGGGGATCTTCAAGGGTCACCCCTAGCTGGAATAGCCAATCAGTCTGCGTGGTCAAGCCTGACTGCCCCTCCACTTTTGATTTGCACTGGAGCTAGGATGAAGACCTGGAGAAGAAAGTGGCTTCGGAGTCTACGGGGACAAACAACGCCCCAGTGGCGCCCAATGTCTTGCAAGGCAATGGCGACACCAGCAGCCACAATTCTTGGAATATACCCTGTTCCCTGCCCCGCACGCCAGGCCCTCGGCTCGGGGAGGACATGGAGGCCTATGTGCTGCTACCCGCACCCCGAGAGCACATGGTGCAGTGCCGCATCGTCCGCAACAAGCATGGCATGGACAAGAGCATGTTCCCCTCCTACTACCTCTACCTGGAGGCAGACGACGGAGTGGCCGTATGCTTCAGCCCCGGCGGCGGGAGGCTTCACACTGGAGGGGACAGATAAGGGAAACAAGCCCCAACTTCGAGGGTTATGTCCCTCCCTTTTTTGGACAAGGTTAAAAATTTCTGGAGCCAGATGTGGTGGCATAAAACTCTAATCCCAATAATCCTTGGGAATGGTGGCAGGGAGGGTCAGGGGAGTAAGGACAGCTGAGTTCAAGGCCAGCCTCCTGACCTAATGAGACACTGAAAAAACTAGAAACAGAGCCAGGTGGTGGTGGATCCTTTAATCCCCCACAGTTGATAAACAGAGGAAGGCAGCCCTTTCTAAATCATGAATTCCAGACCAGCCAGGCCAACAACATGAGCCCCTTTCAGCAACTATTTATTTATTTATTTATTTATTTGGGACTCAGACCTGTGTCTCATAGTTAGGACTTGACAGCTCCAAGCCCTGCCCACCTCAGTCTGCCAAACTTTTTAGAGCATGTTTCTTTAGGTCCTCCCTACCCTATAACCAAGCCTTATCCATTCCAGAGTTAGTTCACATCTCCCTCACCTCCCTTCCCCTTGAGACGAGTGGGTCCCTTTGGCCTCCCATTGCCACCAATCCTGGTGTAAGCTAGGCCTTCAAAGCGGTTCCATTTTCTAGCTAAGCCACGCCCTCTCCATCTGACCAGTCTTCTCCCAGTGTGGCCTCCACCTTCTCCTGAGAGCGTCATTTGAGTTTAGAGCTGTGTTCAGGACCCTGGCTCTAGCAGGTGCCAAAGGTCAGTCCTGAAGTGTCTTCTCTGGTCTGCAGCATTTCCTTCTGGCAGGGCGGAGAAGGAAAAGAAGCAAAACCTCAAATTATCTCATCTCCCTGGACCCCAAAGACATGTCTCGCAACGGGAACAACTTCGTAGGTAAAGTTAGGTAGGTGAAGCCTTTTTGGTGTGTGGCGCTCCTGGCATGCGGGTGAGGCAACAGGTGGCAAGAAGTCACAAGAAAGACAGGCAAATGGACTACATTTCCCAGCAGGCCACAATGCACTAAACTGGACCTGCACCAAAGTCTGATGGGTTTTGTAGTTCTGCAGATTGTATTTCCATAGTTGGAAAAGAAAAACCTTGAAAGCTTTGGGTATCATGAATACAGGCTGGCATTTAATATGTTTAGGTTTTTGATAGGCAGAGGGCTGGGACCCCTCAGTTCCTGTGGGGAAAGAGGTCTAGCGTGTGTGAGTTCTTGCTTCCTAGATGGAAGAGGGTTCTCAATAGTCGATGTAGGATGCTAGAATGACACCGAGGAATCAGAAGGCTGGGACTGTGATTTTTTTTATTTTCCTTAGAAGATGGGTTTGAGAAACACTTAACACAGAATAACAATCACTGTCACGGTTGTTATTGCTCTGTCCACTGCCCTCCTGGGGCAGATCCAATGTCTTGGGCACGAAATATACCATCTTTGATAACGGGGTGAATCCTGAGCGGAACTACTGGATCCCAGACAACACCCGGATCAGAGAGGAGCTGGGAGTTGTGTGTTATGTAAGTATACTGGAGGGGCAGAAATGAGGGGTGCCAATAAGTGAGACACCATAAGGAGCGAGGCCAGCTGGAATATAATCTAATTAATCCTCCCAGGAAACCAATGTCTTGGGATTCCGGGGGCCTCGCAAAATGACCGTGATCCTTCCAGGAATGGACAGCCAGAAGCAGAGGATGAGAGTTCAGCCACAAAGTGTGAGTGTTTAGGGCGGAAATCACAGCACTAAGAGATGAGATGGGCTAGGAAATCCCATCATAGATCTCGACTTTGTCAGGGTTCCATCTCAGGCAGTGAAGACTAGAGACTCAAAAGTGCTGGGGCTGGGGCTGAGGCGGGGGCTGGGACTGGCGAGATGGCTCATTTGTTAACACACATGTGCTGCCCTCCTAGAGGAAGAGCAAAGGCAGAGCTCGTGAGTCTGTGGCTAGCCCCGTCTAAAGATCTAGTTCCAGAACAGCCAGGGCTACTTAGTAAGACCTTGTCTTAAAAAAAAAAAAATTAATTCTAGCACTCAGGAGGCCAAGAGGCAAGTGTGAGTTTGAGGCCAGCCTGGTCTACAGAGAAAGTTCCAGGAGTCAGGGATACATAGAGAAATTGTCTCAAAAAACAATAAATTTCTGGTTGGTTCCCTTGTAAGGTGGCTCGCGACTACTCTAGCTCCAGGGGACCTAACACCCTCTTCTGGCCTTTGAAGACAACTGCATTCACACACACATAATCCACATATGCAGACACATATATATTACATTTAATCAAAAAATAATTTTCTAGCCGGGCGGTGGTGGCGCACACCTTTAATCCCAGCACTCGGGAGGCAGAGGTAGGTGAATCTCTGTGAGTTCGAGGCCAGCCTGGTCTACAAGAGCTAGTTCCAGGACAACCTCTAAAGCTACAGAGAAACCCTGTCTCAAAAAACCAAAAAAAAAAATAAATAAATAAATTTCTTTTTTTGAGACAGGGCTTCTCTGTTGTAGCCCTTAATGACCTGTGTGTGATTGTGAGTGTCAACGTTTGCACAATAGAGTACACATAATGACCTGTGTGTGATTGTGAGTGTCAACGTTTGCACAATAGAGTACACATAATGACCTGTGTGTGATTGTGAGTGTCAACGTTTGCACAATAGAGTATACATAATGACCTCTGTGTGATTGTGAGTGTCAATGTTTGCACAATAGAGTATACATAATGACCTATGCGTGATTGTGAGTGTCAATGTTTGCACAATAGAGTATACATAATGACCTGTGTGTGATTATGAGTGTCTGTTCATAAGTTGTAAATAATTTTTGCATAAATGTGTATATAAAATTTATCTCTGGAGCAATACACATAGTATTGAAGATATGGAAATCACCATGGGAAAGGCAGTAAGAATTCCAAAGCTCAGGTAAGAGATCTCTCATTCTGTCTGTTCTGCACACTCATGCATTCTTGAAAGTTCACAAATAAGAATCAAGTAACTAACAACTGTGTTTTGAACTTGACCATCGAGAAGTCACTGCAATCCTGATAAAATGCTGTTTCCATTCATACCAATAAACAAATTAGATGGTGAACTCAAGGACCAGCTACAAAATGAAAATATAAAATACCAATTACAAGCCAGGTGGTGGCGCATACCTTTAATCCCACCACTCAGGAGGCAGAGGCAGGGGGATCTCTGTGAGTTTGAGGCCAGCCTAGTCTATAAGAGCTAGTTCCAGGACAGGCTCCAAAGCTCCAGAAAAAACCCTGTCTAGAAAAAAAGGAAAAAAAAAAGAAGAAGAAAGAAAAAGTGAATTTCATGCCTAAGACATTGGGTCTGCCCCAGGAGGGCCACGGTGAGAGTAATAATAACCACCACAGTGATTGTTTACTCTATGTTTAGTGCTTTCTCAAACTCATCTTCTAAGAAAAAAATTACAGTCTCAGCCTGGTCTACAGAGCTCTGTGTAGCCAGGGCTACAACAGGGAAACCCTGTCTCTAAAAACAAAGAAAAACAAAAGGTAAATCTAGACACACTATGTCTCAAATAAATAGATAAATAAATGTGTGTATCTGGACCAACGGATAGGCGGGTAGGCTAACAAACGATGCCCTGTTGTATCATCCCCAAGGATCAGGATTCCATATTGAGTCGCCTACAAAAGGGTGCTAGACACGGCCTGCTCCAACTGAAGAACAAAGCCCCATCTTGGAGCGAGGAGAGCGGCGCCTACGTGCTCAATTTTCACGGTCGCGTCACTCGGGCTTCGGTCAAGAACTTCCAGATTGTGCACCCCGATGAACGTGAGCTCTTAGCAATCCCAAGACACGGGCTTTGGGGGCAGGAAGAGGGCGTTCAGGGCGGGAGCCTCACTTTCACAAGGCCTATTGGGACGTGTAGTCTATGGGGCTCCCTGAGTATCCTAGGTTGGCCAGGGTGCAGCCGCGTGGCTACATTAGAGTTTAAGTCCTATTTCCTGGTTTGCTCATCAGCGGACTGCCTGGTGCTCCAGTTCGGCCGCGTGGCCCCAAACATATTCACTATGGATTTCCGATATCCTCTTTGCCCTCTCCAAGCCTTCGCCATCTGCTTATCTAGTTTCGATGGGAAATTGGCGTGTGAGTAACTGAATAAAATACCATCCCTCACCAGCTCTGTCGTGTGCGTTTGGAGATAGCTTCACAGCAGTTTTTAAGTTTTTTTGGGGGGGTGGGGTCGAGACGGGGTCTTTCTTTCTTTCTTTTTTTTTTTTTTTGGATTTTCGAGACAGAGTTTCTCTGTAGTTATTGGTGCCTGACCTGGAACTAGCTCTTGTAGACCAGGCTGGCCTCAAACTCACGGAGAACCGCCTGTCTCTGCCTCCCGAGTGCTGGGATTAAAGGTGTGCGCCACCACCGCCCTGTCTCTTGAACTCAGGTTGGGCTTGAACTCAGATCCACCTGCCTCTGCCTCCCAAGTGCCACCACAGCCCGTTCTTTTTTAGTTTTCTGATACTCATTCTGGTCCCTGACAATGTAGCTGAGATTAGCCTTGAACACCCAATCCTCCCCTTCCACCTCCGGAGTACTGGATGACAAGCATGCACCTTGGTGCCCGGCTTTGCACATGTAGTACCTTTTATCTACCACCCTCCCTTTGTTTTTTAAGGCTGCCTCGCTCGATAGGTTATGCCTGCCTGGAACTCCTGCCACAACTTCTAAATGCTGGGATCAGTTGCGGCACTTGACCCCAGCCTGGACACAGAACTCAGTGTTTTGAGACCATCACTGTGTATATCAGGCTGGTTTAAACTTCAGTTTGGACACAAACCTCATTTTTAGCCTCCCTTGAAAATCCACCAGCAGGATATTATCAATACATAATTAAGACTTGATCAGTATAAATCAAAAGGCTTTATTTCATATTAAAAAAATAAATAACAAAACTATACGGGTTTAAGTCAGGCTGGATGGAGGGGCTTCACTGGGAAGGGGAGAGGGTGTGGTCAGAGCTCGGCTCAAGGGCGTGGCCTAAGGAGGCACAATGCCCAGGCTGTGGAAAAGGTGTGGAGGCCAGAGTAAGAGGTGCGTTTCCAAGGCGAGCCCGTGCTCTGGCCCGGAAGGCAGGGGTGAGGTAAGGACCCAGCTCCTTCTCTGCCTGGGCAATGCGGCGAGCAAAGCGGCTCCGATCTCGTGCGAGCTGCTCCCAGGGACCACGGCGGGCAGCCTGGGCTGGTCCTGCCCAGACAGCAAGGAGATGAACTGTGACTTTCTCAGAGAAGTGCACCTGGACAGATGGGCAGAGGCAAGACAACGTTAGTCACACAAAAACACTTGGTGTTTGAATAGTCACCTCCTGACTGTCCCTGACTCACTCCATTAGCACCACTACCACTCCCCTGCTCTTTCAGGAGATTGCAACAGGGTGAACACAGCCTTCCCTTGTAAGAACTTGCAACAAAAGGTCCCTGGAGTCCCCGCCTCCAGCACGCCTCCTTAGGGATTTCAGGTCCGGCCCCTCCTCCCGATTGGGAATCTAAACCCTTTGTATAATCTCTGAGTTAGAATCCAGGCCCAGGCACTCACCTTTCTGGTCCGCAGGGGAGCTGCAGAGTCCTGATCCTGGGTGGGTGTTTTCAATAGTCTGAGCCTCCTTTGCAGTCGAGGGGGCAGCTTAGGGGCAGCCCAAGGTGCTGCTGGCTTCTCTCCAGGTAAATAGAAGACCACCTGAAGAGAGGGCTCTGCTTGCACACATCCCGCTGTCTTCTCTCCAGGCAGACACCGCCGGGCCTGAAGGCAGGGACCTGAGTCATCTGGGACATTCTCACACTCATCTTCTGTGTCCTCTCCTGGACAGTAGACCCAGGCCTTCAGGAAGGCACTTGTATGGGGGGTTGCACAGGTCTGAGCTACACTGTCTTCCCCATCTGATCCCCAGTCACCGTCGTCCTCATCCTCCGTGTCCTCTCCAGGTCTACACACCCAGGCCTTCAGGAAGGCCTGTGCAGGAGAGGTAGGGGAAGGCAAGGCCTGGCCTTCTTCCTCTTCTTCCCCAGCTGATCCCCAATCCCCGTCGTCCTCATCTTCCGTGTCCTCTCCAGGCCGACATACCCAGGCCTTCAGGAAGGCATTCCCACTACAGACAGCTTCAGCTTTCCCCTCTTCCTCAGCTGCTGCCTTCTGACCAGGCTGATCCTGCTCTGCCCCGTGTGGCTCTCGGTTGCCTTCTCCCTCCTGCGTAGGCCCCTCTCTAGAGCAGTACTCCCAGGCTCTGGGGTGAGAGCCTAAAGGAGAGCTGGGGGGGTCAGCTTTCTTTTCTGTTCCTTTTTCCTCCGTGGCTCGATGTCCTGCGTCTCTGTAAGCAGCAGAGGCTTCTCCATCCTCTTCCTCGTCCTCGGCTGAACCACCCTCCCCGTGTGCTGTGGGATAAGCCAGCTCAGTCCCTCCCTCTTCTCCAGCCACCACCTCCCTGAGGCTCTTATCAGCACCTTGCAGGCTAGGGGACAGGGGCATAGGCAGGCCAGCTGTGTGTTCCCTCTGCTGCTCTCGAGGGCCATCCTGTCCTTGCTTCTCACTGTATCCATCATTTGAAAGTCCCCATGCTTCAGGAGGGGAATTGTGGGCTTGAACATCAAAGGAAGGCCCCTGGGCTGCTGGACTCTCCCTAGGAGCTCCACAGTCCTCAGGGTCCCCCTGAGGGAGGTTCCCAGGGACCAGGGGAGGTGTCACCAGAGCCTTGGCGGCTATCTGATCTGCTCCTGTTACTGTTTCTGTCAGCCAGGGCTCTGGACCTTCCGGGCCCCTCAGGTGGCTCCAAGCCCGGCTGAGGAAGCCCATCAGTGGAGACAGGAGGTAGAAGGATTGGACATCTCTCCAGGGCAGGGTATACTTGGGTCTTGGGGCCATATGTCTGGGCTGTAAAAAGGGGAGTTGTTTAGAAGCCATTCTGGAAACAGTATCATACCACAGCCCTGAGTCATGGTAATATAAATAGTCACGGTACCAACACGAGAATCCATGCCTCAAATTCCTAACAGCACTGCTCACACCCACCTCTGCCACCTGCTTCTCAGTACCCGACAGACGGCACTCGGTTCTACATGTTTAGATCAAGAGAGCCCACCCTCCTAAACCCTTTCTTCAGCCCCCGTCAAAGATTCCCCGTCCTCAGACCTGGGAGCCTGGCTTCTAAAGACCCCTTTCCCCTCAGCTTATATGTTTACATTATGTATTATATAATTATAGATGCTATAATTCACGCCCCCCAAAGCTGCTCCTGCCCCCTCCTGCTTCCCTTTAGTCGGCTCTACCCAAGCACCTCGGCTCTGGCGGCCGGGCCCCTCCCCTTTAATCGCAGAGCCTAACTTCAACTTTACTCAGACCCTCCATGCCTGCCTCTCTTCTCAAAGCGTCTGGGATTTCCCCAGCTTCCTCCCCCAGACCCCACGCACCGGCGGGCTGTGCGTCACCCCGGAGGCAGGAGCGTCGGTTCGGGCTGCCAGAAGCGGTCGCGGGTCGGTAGGTCTCGCAAGGCCAGCGCGGTCATGTCGCCCTCAGGCGTGCGGTTCGGGGATGCGAAGTCTCACAGGCGGTCGCAAGGAGTATCCCGGCAAAGGGACGCGGAGAGGCGCGGAATATCGCATGCAAGCAATCTTCACCAGTTGAGAACAGGCTCAATCTGGGCCGAAACTGTCAACCGCGCTTTTATAGCCTGACGCTGGCGCTGCGCTGACGTCACCGGGAGGCGGGGCTTAGGAAGTCCCTGGGAAAGGTGGGAACTGGAAAACAACACCGCACTTCTCGCGGACTTTCCGGGCCTCATGACGTCACGGCAGCCTTCCCGGCACACTGAGTGCTGAGCCCGCGGGCCAGGTTCCCACGTGTCCCCAACCCCGTGACTTTCCTTTCTATTTTTTTTTTTTTTTTTTGGTTTTTCGAGACAGGGTCTCTCTGTGGTTTTGGTTCCTGTCCTGGAACTAGCTCTTGTAGACCAGGCTGGTCTCGAACTCCCAGAGATCCGCCTGCCTCTGCCTCCCGAGTGCTGGGATTAAAGGCGTGCGCCACCCGGCTCTATTTTTTTTTTTTTTTTTGAGAGACAGAGACTGGCCTCAAAATCAGTGATCCTCCTGCTGCTTTCTTCTAAATGCACCACCACTTTTTGCCGTTTTTCCCCCCAAGACAGGTGTGATTTTTGAAGGCAAAACACTCATTGTTGGTTTTGGTTTTTTTTTTTTTGGTTGTTTGTTTGTTTGTCTGTCTGTCTATCTGTCTCTCTCTCCTTTTTTTTCCTTGGTGTTTCGAAACAGGGTTTCTCAGTGTGGTCCTGGCTGCCCTGGAACTCGCTCTGTAAACCAGACTGGCTTCGAACTCACAGAGATCCGCCTGCCCAGTACTGAGATTAAAGGCGTGCGACACCACTGCCCATATGTATTTATTATTTTTTTAAAAAACACTTTTTTCTTCTATAAATAGTGTATTTGTGTTTAGAAGTTGCAGTTTTAGTATTATCAGAAAATATATAGCAAAGGTTTCCTAAAAGTGAAAAAAATAATTATTAATGTTGGAAAAATTAGCCTCATTAACATATTTACAGACTTTTACTTAATATATTCTCCTTTGGAAATTACTTAACGTGACATTTTACAGCATTAACCCTCCCCAAACCTCTGCGTAGTGAGCGCTTCAGCTCTTTGCTGTCTCTAACCAAAGCTGAACCAGCCTCCTGTCAGTCAGACACTGCTGGCCCACTGCTCTGCTCCTTCCCTACCCATGCTTCTGCTGAGGAAGCGTCCTTCAGCAGCTTCTCTCTACTCTGCCCTTCCTGTACTTTCAGAATCACGTTTCGGATTTCTTCTCTTTCTGTTTTCATTCTCAAGGGACGAAACCAGTTCACCAAATTCATAGGGAGCTCAGAATTTAGTACTGGATTCTCAGAAAAGCCCTCTACACCCTGCAGTATGTATGTGCCACAGTCGCTGAGGTTATTCTGCTGTGGACCGTTTGGGTTGGAACCTCTCACGACGTCTTTGGAAAGATTTCTTTTGTTTGCTTTTTTAACCTCCCATTCCACTTCTAAACACTCTCTTGGAATTTTGACAACATTTGACCGGGAAGGACTGTGTGAGTCTGTAAGGAGAATACAGAGTTACAGACACTAGGTTTTAAACGCCACTGTCCTATTTCTGAATTGTAGCCTTCATCATTGCTCCTATCATCCAGCCCGTCCTGATCCTCTGAGAAGTCACTGAGTTCATCTTCCAGCATTTTGCCTCCTTCAGCTGACCGATCACCGTAGTTTAGTCTGATTTTGCTTAGGGAATCTGGATAATGTGTAGAATTTATAGCCAGGCGGTGGTGGCGCACGCCTTTAATCCCAGCACTTGGGAGGCAGAGGCAGGCGGATATCTGTGAGTTCCAGTCCAGCCTGGTCTACAAGAGCTAGTTCCAGGACAGGCTCCAAAGCCACAGAGAAACCCTGTCTCGAAAAACCAAAAAAAAAAAAAAAAAGATGTGTAGAATTTAAACATTCATCCTTTAGCCATTCTCACTTTTAGCTCTATCATTGACTTCCTGCCACACAGATTCTCCATTACTTGATTCTTCGTTTTCACTTACAGCATGGATTTAAAAAAAAACTTTTAAAATGCCAGCTGGCCTGGTGGGGTGGAGGCACACGCCTTTAATCCCAGAACTGGAGAGGCAGAAGTAGGGAGATCTCTGTGAGTTCGAGGCCAGCCTGGTCTACAGAGTGAGTTCCAGGACAGGCTCCATAGTTACTTAGAAACCCTGTCTCAAAAAAACAAAAATAGTGAAATGCCAGCTGTGCCTCACAACCGTATACAGTAAGATCTTGTTCCCTTTTCCAGAGTACAGGCATACATGTAAGCAGAACACTGTTTTTAAAATTTATTTACTTTTTATTAGTTTAAATCCAGGAAGGATACAGCACCACACAGGATTCTTTGCCCAACGGCCATTTCAGGAAGGTTGTTTCGGAATTTGGCAGGAACCACGCCACTGTTTCCGTGACCCGAGTTACTTTTCTCCAGACCACTCCAGTTTCTTTTGGTTTGCCTGATGGTGCTACTGTGTTGTTTGTTTTTTTGTTTTGTTTTGTTTTTCTTTTTTGTTTTATACATGTAAGTATATAATTCTTCTTGTCCAAGAAGAATTCAGTTTCATCTCAGGCATAAACGCCTTCAATTTTAAGAACAGCATGCTCTCTCAGGTTCCGGAGACCTCCTTATAGCCAGCAAAAGTGGCCTCGCACCACAGCCTTCCAGACAAATTTGCCTTTTTTTTTTTTTTTTGGTTTTTCGAGACAGGGTTTCTCTGTAGCTTTGGAGCCTGTCCTGGCACTAGCTCTGTAGACCAGGCTGGCCTCGAACTCACAGAGATCTGCCTGCCTCTGCCTCCCGAGTGCTGGGATTAAAGGCGTTCGCCACCATCGCCCGGCTGACATATTTGCCTTTTAGAAGTCCTGTTCAGCAGGCCTCCACAGGCACCAAGATGGCGGAAAAACATAAATAAATCTTTTTTTTTTTTTTAAAAAAAAGATTTATTTATTACGTATACAATGTGCCTCCTGCATGTACACCTCCACGCCAGAAGAGGGCACCAGATTTCATTACAGATGGTTGTCAGCCATCATGTGGTTGCTGGGAATTGAACTCAGGACCTCTGGAAGAGCAGCCAGTGCTCTTAACCTCTGAGCCATCTCTCCAGCCCCCCCCCTTTTTTTTTTTTTTTTTGGTTTTTCGAGACAGAGTTTCTCTTTGGCTTTGGAGCCTGTCCTGGAACTAGCTCTGTAGACCAGGCTGGTCTCGAACTCACAATAAATAAATCTTTTAAAAACTAAAATAAAGGCCGGGTGGTGGTGGCGCACGCCTTTAATCCCAGCACTCGGGAGGCAGAGGCAGGCGGATCTCTGTGAGTTCGAGACCAGCCTGGTCTACAAGAGCTAGTTCCAGGACAGGCTCCAAAACCACAGAGAAACCCTGTCTCGAAAAACCAAAAAAAAAAAAAAAATTCAATCATTATCAAAAATCTTTGGGGCTGGAGAGATGGCTCAGCGGTTAAGAGCACTGACTGCTCTTCCAGAGGACCCGGGTTCGATTCCCAGCACCCACATGGCAGCTCACAACTGTCTGAAAATGCAGTTCCATGAGATCTGACACTTTCACACCAACAAACATAATAAAGTTAAGTAAATAAATAAAAAAAAGTTTAAAAATAAATAAATAAATAAATCTTTTAAAAACTAAAATAAAGGCCGGGCGGTGGTGGCGCACGCCTTTAATCCCAGCACTCGGGAGGCAGAGGCAGGTGGATCTCTGTGAGTTCGAGGCCAGCCTGGTCTACAAGAGCTAGTTCCAGGACAGGAACCAAAAGCTACAGAGAAACCCTGTCTCGAAAATCAAAAAAAAAAAAAAAAAAAGAAAAGAAAAAGAAAAACTAAAATAAAGTGCAAGCCAGAAACTGAAGAGGCAGAGAAAGGAGGATCACTGTGAGTTCAGGGTCAGCCTGGACTAAGAGCTAGCTCCAGACTGGTCAAATGTACACAGGGAAAAAAAATCTTTTGGGGCCTGATAGTATACCTTTATCTCTGCACTTGAGAGGAAGAGAATCTGAGTCAGAGCCTAGCCAGGGCTATAAGTAAGTTCCCAGACAGCCAGAGCTACATAATGAGACCCAGCCTCAAAAGAGAAAAAACAAAATAATTTCCCCTTACTTTATATGAGAGGTTTCCTTCATATATATATATGTATTGTGTGTCTGTCTGTGTATGCATGCATGCATTCATATATACGTACACACACACACACACATACTATGTCTGTATATGGTACGTGGAGACCAGACAATGGCTTCTGAACTTGTAGAGTTAGAGAAGGCTGTGAACCCCATGTTCCGGGAGATGAATCTGGGAGAGAGGCAAGTGCTTTCTCAAGCCCTGAGCCATCTTTCTAGTCCCTTGGTTGTTTTGGTGTGTGGGTCTGTCTGTCTGTTTAGGGACAGCCCTTCACAGTATACCCCACACTGTCCTGGAACTAACCTTGATATTTGGGCAATCCTCCTGCTGTGCCCAGAGAAGCTGTGACCCCAGCCTACTGCCTGCCTTCATGGAACTTTCTCTTTTTACTTCTTTGAAGGTTTGCTTGTGTCTCCTTTGTTTTGTCTTTTGACAGGGACCCATTTTGTATTCCAGAATTGCCTGGAGCTGGCTATGCAGTCCGGGGTGAACTCTATCTACATTTGTAGCCCAGGCTGCCCAGGAATTCTCAGCAGCCCTACCCCAGCGTTCCTGCATAGAGGCTACAGTGTGACCGTGATGCATCCTACATGGAGAACACTGCCAAGCAGACTCTCTTGCCTTCATAGGCAGGCATCTGCATTCTCCACTGCTCCAAAATCATGTGCAATTTGAAATTCTGATTGGGCTGTTCCCTGGTGGGGTGCGGCTCTGTTTAAATCCCAGATCCAGATCCAGAGACCAAATTCCAACCTCCCTTCCTCTCCCTACCTGGTGTGTGTCTCTGTGTGTCTAAGTGTGTTTGTGTGTATGTGGGTGGTGTGTATGTGTATGAGTGTGTTTAGTGTGTGGTGTGTGTGTTTGGTGTGTGGTGTGTGGTGTTTCGGGGGATGGATCCCAGGGCCTCACACACACTGGGCAATGCTCTCTGGGAACTACACTCTGAGCTCTGATCTGCAGAATAAGGAGTCCTCAGAATGCACTATACCTCCCTCCTAAAGGGTTATCAGTCTCATCTGAGGGAGAAATTTCAAACTGCCGCTTAACTCTGTCCTTGCCAGAACCTAGTTCTCTGGGACGCCCCCCTCCCCCTTCCAGGACCAGTGCTGATCATGGATGCACAGTCTGTGAGTCTTGACTTCTGGCTCAGCCCTTCCCAGGCACCCACTAGCAAGTATCCCAATTTTCCAAAGTTTCAGGAGTTGGATACCCCATTCTTCAAAAGACCCAGGTCAGCTCTCTAGGAGGTGCCTGGAGCTCAGAACCCGAAGTAACAACAAACTTGTACTGGGGTTCAAGTCTCTGCTCCAAACACTGAGGAGTCCCAGCAACAGTTTAGGGGAGCCAGGAGTTGGGGAGCCCAATCCCTCCCCTTAGTTGTGGGGACAGCTGAGCCAGGGGTCAGGCTGCAGTAGGGAGGCCAGAAGAGGCGGGGACAGCCAGGATTGGGAGGGGAGGCAGCAGCGTGGGCGGCTGCCAGAGACAGGGAAAGCCCAGCAGAGAGGAAAGAGAAACTGGGAGAGGGAGGAAGAGAGAAAGTGAGGAAGAGCACTTGAAAGAGAAGAAAGGAAACAGATGTGTCTGGCTAGGGAGAAAGAGAGACTGAGCGCGGAGAGAGGGACTAGAGGAAGGAGATAAGACTGGAGGGGTGGGGAGTTACACAGGAGCAGAAGGTGAGGAGAGGGAAGGTGACATAAGCAGACAAGGGGAGGGGGGAGAGAGAAAGAGAGGGAGAGAGAGAGACAGAGAGGAAAAAAAGAGGGAGAGAAGGAGGGGGGAGAGAGAGAGAGAGAGGAAGAGAGAAGGAGAGACAGAGAGAGAGACAGACAGACAGACAGACACACACACACAGAAGCAGACATCAGGTGTGGAGAGACAGCCCTGAGAGGCAGTGTGTGAGGTGGCAGATCCTGTGGGACACCAGAGCTGGGTAAGTCCCTGGCTGGGCTGGGAGGGACTTGCCTGGATGCTCATTCCTAGTGTCTCAGGACTTGTCTTGGGTAGTTGACAAAGATACTTTGGGGGTTCATGAGAGAAAACAGGGACAGGTAGCCCAGGGCACCCTGAAGGAGGCAGGGAGTAGAATCCCTGCGCATAGAGGGGGTCACATTCCTAGCCAGAGTTCAGTGGGCAGGAATAAAGGAGCCCCTATTCTTAAGGCCTGACTGCAGACAGCTGCCCCCTCCCCACAGCTGCCAGGGCCGCCCACCTCTCTTGGCACTGCTCTTGGTATGTGATCCCTGGCCATGACCTCCCCAGTCCCCCAGTCCCCAAACAACAGTTTCTTTCTCCCGCAGCATTCTCTGACCTCCAAGCCCTGACCCCAACTCTGTCCTCAGCCCCCGTCAGTGGAGAGACACAGTCCCTTTTTCTTTCTCCCAGAGCTCTCGATGGAGCAGGACCGACCCCGGAGCAGCCTGAGCCTGGCCAGCAGCGCTTCCACTGCATCTTCTCTGAGCAGCCCGAGCACCAAGGTTCTTAGCGTTCGCAGGGGGATAGGGAGGAGGGAGCAAAGGGTGACCCTGACCCATTTCCTAGCTGTGGTTCTGTGCCACCACGGGGCTCCAGTTGTCAAGGACAAGGTTCCTTAGTGACTGGGTCTGCCAGACTGGCCCCTAGTTGAGCATCAGCTGCAGTTGGAACTTGGAGACATTCCCAGCTCTGTCCCCACCCTCTCAGTCTTCCACAAACCTAGACTGAAAGGAGGTGGCTGCTCCTGACTGGCTTAGGGGACTTCCTCTCCAGTCTACAACAGGGGAACCCACCCACTAACAACCAGGCATGGTGGTTCACAACTGTAATTCAGTATAGGGGAGATGAAGGCAGAGATATAGATTGGCCTAGGTGAGACACTGCCTCATGCGAAAAAAAATCCCAAACCAGAGCCAGGTGTAGTGGCACATGCCTTTAATTCCAGCACTGGGGAGCAAAGGCAGGTGGATCTTGGTGAGTTTGAGGCCAGCCTGGTTTACGTAGTGAGTTCTAGAACAGCCATAGCTACATAGTGAGACTCTTTCTTGAAAAACAACAACAAAACAAAACAAAACACGAAAGAAGAAGCCAGGTATGGTGGTACACACTTCAAATTTCAACATTCAAGAAGTAGAGGCAGGAGGATCAGAAATTCAAGGTCATCCTTGGTTACCTAGTGATTTGAGGATAGCCTGGGCTACATAAATATCACCTAGGACAAAGTTCACCTTACTCCCTTAAATTCAGAACCCAGAGATTTGATTCCAGTCTTGGTCATCCGACTCCCAAGGAGGAGTCCAAGGCAGCTTGGACATAGGGGTCTGTGCAGTCTGTGTGTCGACAGGTGCCCCTCTGAGAGAAAGGAAGGGTGAGAAGCCCCATCTCCACCTTGAACTCGCTTGCTGAGGAAGTCTCTGCCCAGCATCAAATGACGACCTTCTCTCCTTTCACTTCCCAGGACTTCTGTGGGGAACTCCCAGCCCATATGCCCTGTGGGGATTGCAGAGGTTTTGTTGTTGTTGTTGTTTTGTTTTTTGTTTTTTGGCATTTCTGGCTGTGGCAGGCAAGAGTGTGTTCTTGCCAGGGGCATCTCTACAGGGTCTCATGGAGCCCAGACTGCTTGGCTTCCTAGGTAGTCAAAAAATGACCTGAACTTGTTACTGTTACTGTTGTTGAGAGACAGGGTTTCTCTGCGTAGCCCTAGCTGTCCTGGAGCTCGCTCTGTAGACCAGGCTGGTCTCAAACTCAGAAATCTGCCTGCCTTTGCCTCCTGAGTCCTAGGTTTAAAGGAATGGCCACCACCCACCCACCTTGAACTTCTGATTCTGCTCCTGTCTCCAGCGGGATGGAATTGCAAGTGTGAACAACTCTAGGACTTGAACTTGTGCTTCATGTACAATGAGGAAGCACCGTGTAAACAGAGCTAACTCAATCCCTTGTCATTGGTTTTGTTTGCTTGTTTTGAGACTTGGTCTCAAACAGCATAGACTGTCCTGGAACTCCCTTGAATCCTGATCCTCCGTCATCCACATCCCAAGGGCTGGTTCCGTAGGCAGTGCTACTGTCCTCAGCCTCCTGGCCTGACCTCTAAGAGAGAGAGGTCACTGCACAGCCAGTCCCAGGAGAGAAAGGCAGGGTTTTTCTGTGTAACACTCTTGGATGTCCTGGAACTCTCTCTGTAGACAAGGTTGGCCTCAAACTCACAGAGATCCTCCTGCCTCTGTATCCCGAGTGCTGGGATTAAAGGTGTGCGCCACCATGGGCTGGCTATTCACTTCTCTTCTCACAACTAGAAGCCTACCCGTGCGGTACACAGGGTCCATGCCTTTGGGAAAAGGAACAATGCGCTTCGGCGAGACCCCAACCTGCCTGTGCACATACGTGGCTGGCTGCACAAGCAGGTAAGGATGGTGGGAAAGCTGTGTCCCTGGGTGCTGAGACTTGCTGTTGAGTTTCCTTCCTTATTCCCGACATGATGGATATGACATGCCTCTGCCGCCTGACCCTCAACCTCTTACTCTTTCCTCCGAACCTTAGCCATTCCTTCTCTGTCTGTGTTTGGACTATTTTCTGTTCCTGGCCCCAGGACACAGGTTATGTGCACGTGAGAGGAACAGGTATCTGAGCATCTAAGATCAAGGTGGAGCGCAGAGCATGGTGGCACATGCGTTTGATCCCAGAACTCCTGAGGCAGAGGCACACAGATCTCTGTGGGCAAGCCTGGTCTACATTCCAGGGCAGCCAGGACAACATAGAGAGAAAAAGTGACCAAGCTTAGAACCAAATGTGCTATCACTCAGTCAGGCACCCAGCTTTCACTTATCCATCGTACCAACACATACCTATTGGCCACCCCAGTCCCTTTAGGGTCTCCTTCTCCCCCTCCCTTCTTCCCTCTTTCCCTCCCTCCCTACTTCCCTCCCTTCCTTCCTCCCTCACTCTCTTTGCCTGCCTCTCTCTGGGTCTCTGCCCCCATCTCTCTTTCCTCAGGTCTCTCTGGACCTTTGTCCCTCTGTCTCTGTCTTTCCCTACACCTAGTATCTGTCCCTCTGTCCCCCGGGCCACTTTCTCCGTCTACTTTCTCTTCTCTGCTCTCTGCTGAGGCCCTTTCTTATCTCTCTCCCTAGGACAGCTCAGGCCTCCGGCTGTGGAAACGCCGTTGGTTCGTCCTCTCAGGACATTGCCTCTTCTACTACAAGGGTCAGTGTCCCGGCTGGCCCTTTCCCACCAGTTCCTCTCCCAGGCTTCCAGTTGCCCTGACACCTTCCTGACCTCTGACCCCAACTGCCCTCTGCAGACAGCAGAGAGGAGAGTGTCCTGGGCAGTGTACTCTTACCCAGCTACAGCGTCAGGCCAGATGGGCCAGGAGCCCCACGGGGCCGGCGATTCACCTTCACAGTGAGTATGTTGGTGGGTTCTCGTTAGGTGGTAGGTGGGAACTTGAGGTGACCACGCCTTGGGGTTTCCACGCTCGGAAAAGTCTTACCGCACTTCCTCTGAGTTCTGGTTCCAAACCTCTGTCCCTCGCAGGCAGAGCACCCGGGCATGAGGACCTATGTCCTTGCAGCTGACACACTGGAGGACCTAAGAGGCTGGCTGCGAGCTCTGGGGAGGGCCTCTCGTGCAGAAGGGGAGGACTGGTGAGTGAACACCAGGCAAGCTCCTCCCTTTGTAGGGCAGCCATTTAAATATGCAATTCGTAGCTGTCACAGAATTGGACCCTACCATCAAAGACTCCTCCCCCCAAGGAACTTTCTGCAATAGCAAAAAGGTTTTCTCTTTTAAGATCTGCCCACCTTCTTGTCCACTGACTTCTAACTGACCCTCTAGTCAAGGTATTCTGGAGCCTGTCCTGAACTGGCTTTCGTAGACCAGGCTGGTCTCAAACTCACAGAGATCCACCTGCCTCTGCCTCCACCACCGCTGGCCCATGTCACATTTTTAAAAAGACTTGTTTCTTTTTATTTCATGTATATGAGTGTTTACTAGCATGAACCACATATGTGCATGGTACCCTCAGCGGCCAGAAGAGGGTGTCAGATTCCCTGGAACTGGAATTACAGTTGTGAATTGTCTCGAGGGTGCTAAATTGAGGCCAGGTCTTCTGGAAGAGCAAAAAGTGCTCTTAACCTGAGTTGTCTCTCCAGCTACAAGGCCAGGCCACATTTTAAAATGTAAAAAGCCTGGCAGTGGTGGCACATGCCTTTAATCCCAGCACTTGAGAGGCAGCAGTAGGTGGGTCTCATAGAGTCTGAGGCCAGCCTGGTCTACAAAGTGAGTTCCAAGGCAGCCAGGTTGGTTACACAGAGAAACCCTGTCTTGACAAACAAAACAAAACAAAACAAAAGCTTGTAAAATTTACTTATTACTTTTTATGTAGACCAGGTTGTTCTGAAAACTCTCTATGTAGACCAGGTTTGCCTGTGCCCCGGGATTAAAAGCAGGCCTGTACAACCACACGGGTTTTGTTTTTGAACAAGGTCGAATAGTCCAGACTAGCTGTGTAGTTGATCACCTTGAACTTCTGATCACACCACGGCCACCTTGCTAGTGCTGGGATTCCAGATTCCTCACTCTGCGCTGTGGGGACTTATCCTCGGGGATTCTTGTATACCACTAGGCAGGCACTACTGACTGAGCCACACCCCAGCCTTGTGTGAGTTTTTGTTTGGTTGTATGTCTGTGTGGGTGCTAGTGGAGGCTAGAGGTGTTGGGTCCCTCTGGAACTAGTTACAGGTAATCACGAAGAGCTGAACTAGGGTCTCTGAAGGAGGAGAAAACACTCTTAACTGCTAGGCTACCTCTCCAGCTCCTGCTATTTACTGGGAGGTGAAGCCAGGATTTCATACTTTAAGCAAGCTGGCTAGCATCGAGTGACCTCTCCAGCCCTAAAAGTGTATGTGTCTGTGTGGAGGCTACAGCAGGACAGTATTTTTCTTTAAGATGTATTTATTTATTATAGCTATAGTATTCTGTCTGAATGTTTGTGTGCATGCCAGAAGAGGGCACCAGATCTCATTGCAGATGGTTGTGAGCCACCATGTGGTGGCTGGGAATTGAACTCAGGACTTCTGGAAGAGCAGCTAGTGCTCTTAACCTCTGAGCCATCTCTCCAGCCAGGTATACTTTTCTGGTACTGTCTATCTTATTGCCTTGGAAACAGGGTCTCACTGAACTGGAAGCTTGCCTTAGTTAGGCTGGGTGGCCCATAAGCTCTCAGGGTCTAACCGTCTCAGCCCCTCAGTTACCGTGGGTATTGGCATGCAGAGCCATGTCTAGCTGTTTGTTGTTTGTTTAGTTTTGGATTTTGAGACCAGGTCTCACTGTATAAGTCTGGTTGGCCTGGAACCACCTGCCTCTTCCTCCTCCCCAGGGCTGATTTATTATTATTATTTTTTCCGAGCAATGGTTCCATTTATACCCACCCATGATGGCCAAATGTTTAAAAAAAAAAAAAAGAACAACTCAGGTCAGAACAATATCATCTCAACCCCTATTTCCCCCCTTAAATGTCGACTGTCTCAGGGACTTTCCCAGCTTGCCCAGTTCCTAGCCTCAGGACCCTGGGTCCTGTGCCAGTAGACCCAGTGACCTTTTAGGAGCAAGAGTGATGTCCTTTTCTGTGCCCATTTGCTAGTGGACTACCTAGGTCACCTGCACGTCCCCAGCCGGGAGAAGGCCCCGGGGGTCCCGGGGGGCCTCCAGAGGGGAGCAGAAGGGAAGAGGGGCGCATCTCGGAATCACCAGAGGTAGCAAGGCTCTCCAGAGGTCGTGGCAGCGATGGAACGTACATGTCTAGCCCCACAGCTGGCACCGGGAGTAGGAGGACCAGGAGCCCAGAGTAAGTAGGAACACTTTGGGGACTTAGGGCGGAGCCCTGTTGTTATCAGGGCGTGGCATAAGGGAAGTGGGAGTTAAAGAAGTAGTTGGAACCCTGTCTCGAAAAATCAAAAAAAAAAAAAAAAAAAAAGAAGTAGTTGGACCAGTAAGGGATTGTTGGTGGTCTAAGGAGGGAGCGAGCCGGTTGGAGGCATCGCTTAAGGGAAAGATAAGGCCTGGAGGGATCTTGGTGGTGGCTTGACCATTCGCAAAGTGGACGCAAATGTTCCCAAAGGGAACTCACCCACAATCTGTCCAGCAGAGAGGGGCAGTGCAACCTGGGAAGCCAGACATCCTTGTTGGGTACTGAGGTGGATGGAAGCAGATGCTCAGACTACCTCAGTTCCCTGATTCTTTCCTCTCCATAGGCTGTTCTCATCCCTCTCCCGCCCGCCTTCCCCTCTGAGCCTTCCCCGTCCTCGTTCTGCTCCCGCACGGCGACCCGCTCTCTCAGCAGGAGAGATACCGTTTCCTGCCCGACCTCACACTCCTTTGAGTCGCATCGATGTCCGACCTCCTCTGGATTGGGGACCCCAAAGACAGACCCTTTCTCGACCACCCACTCCACGGCGCGGACCCTCCTCCGAAGCTGGCGGAGGGCGGCCACCCAGGAGTCCCCAGCCCTGGAGACAAGAGCCTAGAACACAGGTGCCCGGACAGAGCGGACTACATTTCCCATAAGGCTTCAGAGCTCTCTTTCCAGGCCAGTGATCGAATCACTCTGGCATTATGGGGATTATAGTTCAAAATGCAACTGATTTTCCCAGCCCTCCAAATCAAAGGCAAATGGGTTTCATGCCCCATCAGGCCTCAGGATTATTTTTGTGACGTTGCTCCTATGTATTGTGGGTATTGTAGTTAATAATACTCTACATCAGATGGAGGCATAGTTTGTTTTCCAGTTATTGTTTCAAGATAGTGCCGGCTACTTGATAATTTCTCTAAGAGTCACGGATTTATACCCTAGAATATCTTCAGCTAACTTCCTACAGCCTCTAACGGTTTTGCCAGGCTTGGCCATTGAGTAATAACTTGTGTGTGGGGCCACTAGAGTTGAGGGTGTGTGTGTGTGTGTGTGCTCTGAACCCACAGCCTGGCCATTCTAGGCAAGCACTCTACCACTGATCTACTCCCCAGTCCTCTTTTTAACTTATTTTGAGACATGGTTTCCCTAAGTTGCCCAGGCTGGCCTTGAACTCACTCTGTAACTTAGGCCTCCAGAGTACCTGAGATGATGGCCTATGACACTAGGCCTAATTTTTTTATTGATATTTATTGATCTCTACATTTTTCTCTGCTCCCCTCCCCGCCTCCCCCCTACCCCTTTCAGTTCTCCTTCTCCCCCAAGGTCCCATGCTCCCAATTTACTCAGGAGATCTTGTCTTTTTCTACTTTCTACTTCCCATATAGATTAGATCTATGTAAGTCTCTCTTAGTGTCCGCATTGTTGTCTAAGTTCTCTGGGATTGTGGTTTGTAGGCTAGCTTTCTTTGCTTTATGTTTAAAAACCACCTATGAGTGAGTACATGTGATAATTGTCTTTCTGTGTCTGGGTTACCTCTCTCAAAATAATGTTTTCTAGCTCCATGCATTTTCCTGCAAAATTTAAAATATCATTATTTTTTTCTGCTGTGTAGTACTCCATTGTGTAAATGTATCACATTTTCCTTATCTGTTCTTCAGTCGAGGGGCATTTAGGTTGTTTCCAGGTTCTAGCAATGACAAACAAAGCTGCTATGAACATAGTTGAGCACATGCCCTTGTGGCACGATTGAGCATCCTTTGGATATATACCTAAAAGTGGTATTACTGGGTCTTGAGGAAGGTTGTTTCCTAATTTTCTGAGAAATCGCCACACTGACATCCAAAGGGGTTGTACCAGCTTGCATTCCCACCAGCAATGCAGAAGTGTTCCCTTTTCCCCACAACCTCTCCAGCATAAGTTGTCATCAGTGTTTTTGATCTTGGCCATTCTTACAGGTGTAAGATTGAATCTCAGAGTTGTTTTGATTTGCATTTCTCTGATGACTAAGGATGTTGAACATTTCCTTAAGTGTTTTTCAGCCATTTTAGAGTCCTCTGTTGAGAGTTCTCTGTTTAAGTCTGTACTCCTTTTTTTTTTTATTGGATTATGTGATTTTGGTGTCCAATTTCTTTTTTTTTTTTTTAATTTTTGAGACAGGGTTTCTCCGCAGCTTTTTGGTTCCTGTCCTGGAACTAGCTCTTGTAGACCAGGCTGGCCTCGAACTCACAGAGATCCACCTGCCTCTGCCTCCCGAGTGCTGGGATTAAAGGCGTGCGCCACCACCGCCAGGCTTTGGTGTCCAATTTCTTGTGTTCTTTGTATATTTTGGAGATCAGTCCTCTGTCTGATGTGGGGTTAGTGAAGATCTTTTCCATTCTGTAGGCTGTCGTTTTGTCTTGTTGACCATGTTCTCTGCTTTACAGAAACGTCTCAGTTTCAGGAGGTCTCATTTATTGATTGTTTCTCTCAGTGTCTAGGCTGCTGGAGTTATGTTTAGGAAGTGGTCTCCTGTGTCGATACGTTCAAGTGTACTTCCCACTTTCTCTTCTATAAGGTTCAGTGTGGCTGGCTTTATGTTGAGGTCTTTAATCCATTTGGACTTGAGTTTTGTGCATGGTGATAGATATGGGTCTATTTTCATTTTTCTACATGTTGATATCCAGTTATGCCAGCACCACTTGTTAAATATGCTTTCTTTTTTCCATTTGATATTTTTTTGCTTCTTTATCAAATATCAGGTGTTCAAAGATGTGTGGATTGATATCCGGGTCTTCTATTCGGTTCCATTGGTCCTCCTGTCTGTTCTTTTGCCAGTACCAGGCTGTTTTCAGTACTGTAGCTCTGTAGTAGAGTTTGAAGTCAGGGATTGTGATGCCTCCAGAAGTTCTTTTATTGCCCAGGACTGTTTTGGCTATCATGGGTTGTTTGCTTTCCCAAATGAAGTTGAGTACAGTTCTTTTGAGGTCTTTGAAGAATTTTGCTGGGATTTTGCTGGGTGCCTCTAGGCCTAATAAGACCTTTCTTTTTCTTTCTTTTTTTTAAATATTTATTTATTATTTATTATGTATACAATAGTCTATCTCTGTGTATGCCAAAGGCCAGAAGAGGGCACCAGACCTTATTACAGATGGTTGTGAGCCACCATGTGGTTCACTCAGGACCTTTGGAAGAGCAGATAATGCTCTTAACCACTGAGCCATCTCTCCAGCCCCCTAATAAGACCTTTCTAAGCATTTTTATTTCAGTCTACCCAGGCCTCCTCTGGTTCTTCCACCTATCTGCAGCTGCCTCCGCGACCCCCTGGGACCCGGGCCTCCATGATTTTGCTGGTAAGTTTCCTGCAACACTAGGAATCCACTAGAGTCCTCTCTTGCTTGACCACCCCACTCCTCAGGGTGATTGTTTCTTGGCCAAGGAGCCTTGAAAGGAGAATCCAGGTTCCCTGTGTAAGTTCTCTTATTTCCCTGTGGCTGATGAAACAAGGCACTGAATGAAAATATGAGGACTTGGCCACTCCTGGGTATGGTTGAGGAGGTTTATTTTATACAGGAGGGAGAGAACAGCCAGAGGCATCTGGAAGAGTGTGACTAAACAGGGCCATGGGAGGAGAGAAAGGGGCGGGGAAATAGAGCAAAGAGAGGAGCAGAGGACCCAGAGACCAAGAAACTGTGTACTCAAATGGCTGAGGTTATGTAGGAATCAGAGAAGCTGGGAGGAAGGGGAGGGGAGGGGAGGGGAGGGAAGGGGAGGGGAGGGAAGAAGCTCCAGGACTGGAGAGGTGAGAGGGGTGGCCAGTGTCCTCTTTGATATAAATAGGCACCTTGGTTGGCCTTTTGTCTCTGGTTTCTTTGAGACTTAACAAGAATCACTTGGGGTTCTTTCCACAGTGTTCTTGCTGTGGTTTTCTTTTCTTTTTTGTTTGTTTTTTCAAGAGAGGATTTTTATGTGTGCCCTGGCTGTCCTGGAACACACTCTATAGACCAGGCTGGCCTCGAACTCACAGAGATCCACCTGCCTCTGCCTCCCGAGTGCTGGGATTAAAGGCGTGTGCCTTGCTGTGGTTTTCAAATCACTGGGGAAGACCAAAGATTAAGACTTAATTCAAATTTGAATTTGGCCTTAAAGCCAAGAAGTATGCAGTGCCAATGGGTTAAAGGAAGGACCTAATAAAACGGACATCAAAACCCTTTGACCCTCGAATTTTCTCCTTAGCCAGGTCCTCCCCCAGCGGACTCAACTTTTCACCAGAGTTTGGAGACAGATGTAAGTTCTCTCAGATCCAATCCCTGTCAAACTCTCCGAGTTGAAAAGAAAAGGTTTAGCCAGTGGTTCTCAACCTGTGGGTTGTGACTGCTATGATTTTTTAAAAATATTGCAAGATCCCGGGGGGGGGGGGGGGGGGGGGGGGGGGCGGCAGTAGATAGGCAGCAGGCTCTGGGAGCATGGGAGTGGGCGTGGCTTGTCTCTTAAAGTGACGGCAATCATAACAGCGACCCCTTTGGGTTATATATCAGACATTTACATTACAATTCATAACAGTAGCAAAACTGCAGTTATGAAGTAGCAACAAAGTAATTTTATGTTTTGGGGGGTCACCACAGCATGTGGAAGTGTATTAAAGGGCCACAGCTTTAGGAAGGTTGAGAACCACTGCTCTAGATGGAGCTGGGAGGGGAAAAGTCAGCTGAGGTCCATAAACATTTCCTTCTCCACTTCCCCCAGACCTTGTTGACCAAGCTGTGTGGGCAGGACCGGCTCCTGAGGAGGATTCAGGAGGATCTAGACAAGAGGCAGGAGGAGAAGGTGCAGAAGGGGAGGGTCTTAGCCCTCCCGTCCTTGAGTGCTTCCCTGGTATGGGAGTCTAGCTGCCTTGTCTTCTTGGGTTGGAAGTGGCTTCAGAAGTCTGACCTCTGTTTTCTGTGCAGGAGCAGCTAGAGGCAGCCTTAGAGCTGACCCGGCAGCAACTGGGCCAAGCTACCAGGGAGGCTGCAGCTTCTGGGAAGGCCTGGGGTCGCCAGCGCCTTCTGCAGGACCGGCTGGTGAACGTGAGAGCTACTCTGTGTCACCTGGCTCAGGTGAGAAGGACTCTCAGGATGCATTGGAGGCTGTACGGGCTTGGAGGTCATTCCTGAGCCATCAGTCAACCCAGGAACAATTTTAAATCTATAACCTCTTTTTGTTTTGTTTTTTTGTTTTTTCAAGACAGGATTTCTCTGTAGCTTTGGAGCCTGCCCTGGAACTAGCTCTTGTAGCCCAGGCTGACCTCAAACTCACAGAGATCCTCCTGCCTCTGCCTCCCGAGTGCTGGGATTAAAGGCATGTGCCACCACCGCCCAGCTTAAATATATAACCTCTTAAACATGTGTTCTTATTATGTGTGTGCACCAGTGTCTCCCATGGCATCCCTGTGAGCGTCAGAGGACAGCTTGAAGTTGTCTTTACCAACTGAGCCATCTTCCTGGCCTTCTAGCCCCTGAGACCCATAACCTTGATTATTACAAAAGGTATGGGGCACGCAGCCAAGCAGCGACAAAACTGAACTTAGTCACTTGAGATGGTGATGATGATGATGAGGATGATGATGGTGGTGGTGGCTTCATTGAGATAGGGTTTCTTCAGCCCTGGCTGTCCTGGAGCTCACTATGTAGACCAAACTGGCTTCAAACTCCCAGAGATTCACCTGTCTCTGCCTCTGAGTGCTGGGATTAAAGGTGCGTGCCACCACACCTGGCCAAGAGAATGATTTTTACAATGTATTTACTATTTTCTATTATACATTCGTTATGTGCATACGAACATGTATGTGCACACATGTGAACACATATGTTGGGTGTTGTGTGACTCAGTCGAAGGAAGAAGGTCACTGCAGAGGTAATTCAGGCTCTGTGGCCGCAGGAAGAACAGTTTCTATGAACTGAACCCCGAAAATCCCTGCAGGAGCGTAGTTACTTATTATTACACAAAAGTCGTTTTTTGGGCAAAACAAATTCCTCTTACCAAAGATCTAATCTCTGTGTTTCATGAAGGAAAACATCGCACGCCTGCCACTTTAGTCCTGGTTGTGTGCACACAGCACACAATAATGCCAGATGCTCCAGGTGTGCCAGGACCCTCTGTGTCCAGGGTCATGCAGAGGCCGTAGCGCCCCTTCAGACAAACAGCCCTGCAGATAACAGAACACAACCACTCTTTTCTACAGCGACTTCTTCAAGCTCGAAATGCCTCCAACAAGCAGTTGTTTTGTTCTGCTATTTTATTGTTTCCCTAGATACAGTGACTCTGCTTGATTCTTCCTCCTACACACACACATACATGTGAACCAGGCCCTCAATCCTAAAACGATCTGATTAGATTTTACCTTATTTTTTTAAATAGTCTCACAGTCGCCGGGCGGTGGTGGCACACGCCTTAATCCCAGCACTTGGGAGGCAGAGGCAGGAGGAGTTCTCTGTGAGTTCGAGGCCAGTCTGGTCTACAAAGGGAGTTCCAGGACAGGCTCCAAAGCTACAGAGAAACCCTGTCTCGAAAAACCAAAAAAAAAAAAAACCAAAAAAAAAAAAAAGTCTCACAGTGTATTCCCGGTTGGCCTGAATGCCCAGAGTTCTGCTCCTTCTGCCTTCCTGCTGCTGTAATTAAAGGTGTGTGCCACCATGCCCTGCACAGTGAAACAAAGGACAGCCCTATTACTACTGTAGTTGTTATGTATTCTGTGTGTTGGCTTGATGAGAGGTCTCAGCAGGGGAGAGCACCAGTCCCCGGCCTCAGCACATGATTCTCGGAACCCACGTGTTCGATAAAGAGAGCCAACCATAAGCCGTCCTTTCCGCTCACTTCCAACCATGCATGAGCATTTGCACACACGAAATAAATGATTCAAGTGAATTGTTTGTACGTGTGCCAGAGTGCTGGTGCTGGCCAGAGAGCATCTTCCAGGAGCTGGCTCTCCCCTGCGCTGTGCAGTTTCTGGGATGGACTGGGCCTTCAGGGTGGCTGCCAAACGCCTTCTCCTGTTGGCCTCCTCACTCGCTCTCCTTAGGTGGCTTTGAATGGACTCTCCCTCAATGTTACAATGATTTTAAAAATGTTATTTGAACACTTGGGTCATTTCTCTAGAGAAGAAAAGTAGTATGGGGGAATGTAAAAAAAAAAAAGAAAGAAAAGAAAACTAGTATTTGAAGAGGCAGAGGCAGGGGATGCCTGTGAGTTTGAGGTCAGCCTGCCTGGTGGACATAGTGAATTCCAGGACAGCTGGAGTTACGTAGAGAGACTGTCTCAAAAAAAAAAATGAATAGGAGAGCTTGCTCGATGATTTAAGAGCACTTTTGCTGTCCTAGAGAACCTGGGTTCAATTCCCAACACCCACATGTTGGCTCATAGCCATCTGTAACTCCAGTTCCGGGGAATCCGACACCCTCTCTGGCTTCGGTGTATAGGATACACACACAAACATACAGGGAAAACACTCATGCCTGTAAATACATCTAAAAGAAGGCATCGTATCTACTTCATATGACCCTTGTGAGGATCATGTTAAAAGACAGATGTGAATAGATACTTCCGATTTTATCTGTAGGCTGCTAGGCTGCATGGCTTAGGATCAGTCCATGTTCACGGGGATCACTGAAGCATGTGCCTGGGTTCCCAGTAGTTCAGGCAAAGTCATGGAGTTGAAGTCCTTCTGGAATGAGACTACCTAGAGGAAGCCTCCCCCTCAGCTGGGGCAGGAGACTACCCAGAGGAAGCATCCCTCCTCCACTGGGGCAGGAGACTACCCAGAGGAAGCCTCCCCCTCAGCTGGGGCAGGAGACTACCCAGAGGAAGCATCCCTCCTCCACTGGGGCAGGAGACTACCCAGAGGAAGCATCCCTCCTCCACTGGGGCAGGAGACTACCCAGAAGAAGCCTCCCTCCTCCACTGGGGCAGGATCTGGTGGTTTGAGGGACTAACCTTGTATCTCTCCCTTTTTTTGGGACTCTAGGAACGAGAGCAGGTTTGGGACACCTACAGTGGCCTGGAGCAGGACCTGGGCACCTTAAGGGAGACCCTCGAATACCTTCTGCACCTCGGGTCTCCCCAGGTACACCCCCACCCTTTCCTCCCTGCCCACAGCACCTGAGCCACAGGTTCTCAGTACTTCAAGTACCACCTGGGAACTGTGGCCATGCCAGCCCTGTCCGGGGGCCGAGTACCATCCCCTGGATTGGTGACTGGGAACTGTGGCCATGCCAGTCCCGTCTGGGGGCCGAGTCCCATCCCCTGGATTGGTGACTGGGAACTGTGGCCATGCCAGCCCTGTCCAGGAGCCGAGTCCCATCCCCTGGATTGGTGACTTTCTTCTTGATGTGACCCAATATTTTTTTTTTTATTGAAAAAAAAATTCTGCCTCCTCCCAGCCTCCCATTTCCCTCCCCCTCCTCCCGCCCCTCTTCCCCTCACCCCACTCCTCTCCTTCTCCCTCTCCAGTCCGAAGAGCAGTCAGGGTTCCCTGTCCTGTGGAAAGTCCAAGGTCCTTCCCCCTCCATCCAGGTCTAGGAAGGTGAACATCCAAACTGGCTAGGCTCTCACAAAGCCAGAACATGAAGTAGGAACATAACCCCATGCCATTGTCCTTGGCTTCTCATCAGCCCTCGTTGTCCGCCATGTTCAGAGAGTCCGGTTCTATCCCATGCTTTTTCAGTCACAGTCCATCTGGCCTTGGTGAGCTCCCAATAGATTAGCCCCACTGTCTCAGTGGGAGGGTGCACCTCTCGTGGTCCTGACTTCCATGCTCACGTTCTCCCTCCTTCTGCTCCTCACTGGGACTTTGGGAGCTTAGTCCGATGCTCCAGTGTGGGTCTCTGTCTCTATCTCCATCCATCGCTAGATGAAGGTTCTATGGTGATATGCAAGATATTCATCAGTATGGCTATAGGATAGAGTCATTTCAGGTTCCCTATCCTCAGCTGCCCAAGGAACTAACTGGGGACATTGCCCTGGGCACCTGGGAGCCACTTTAGGTTCAAGTCTCTTACCAACCTAAGGTGGTTCCCTTAATTAAGTTATGTGATTCCTTGCTCCTCTATCCAACCTTGTATGTGAACCAATATTTGACAAGAAGCAATTAGGGGAAACGTGTTATGATAGGTTTTATTTGGTATGTGGGGTGAGTATATGGTTCTTCACTGTGGGGAAGGTAAGACGGAGCTCATGGTGGCAGGAATAGGGGCAGGGACTTCTCCAATCTCTCTGGATCAAGTTGCAAGAGTCAGGGCTGCAGAGATGGCTCAGGTCAAGAGCACCTGCTGCTCTTGGAGAGGACCATGGTCCAGTTCCCAGCACCCACACGGTGGCTGTCCACACACACCGCACTCACACGCACATCCTCACATACAGAAACACATCTACTCCTATTTATTTATTTTAGTTTTTCGAGACAGGGTTTCTCTGTGGTTTTGGAGCCTGTCCTGGAACTAGCTCTTGTAGACCAGGCTGGCCTCGAACTCACAGAGATCCGCCTGCCTCTGCCTCCCGAGTGCTGGGATTAAAGCCGTGCGCCACCACTGCCCGGCCATCTACTCCTATTTAAAATCATCAAAATAAACATGAAAAACAGCAGAGTCAGGAAATGCTGGCTAGAGTGGCTCTAGCTCACTCACTCTTTTCTTTAAACAAGTCTTGAATGCTCTGCTTCTGTTTTTAGATTTTAAGATTTATTATTTTTTATTTAAGTGTGTGTGTATACATATGTGATATATATATATATATATATATATATATATATATATATATATATTTTAAACTTGTGTGTGTGTGTGCCCTTGAAATCCAGAAGAGGATGTTGGAGTCCCTAGAACTGGAGTTACAATCAGTTATGTGGCTGCTGAGAACCAAACTTAAGTCCTCTGGAAGAGCAGCAGGTGCTCTTAACCCCCCCCCCCCCAGACAAGATCTCTTTGTTACATTCACATAGTGGTGGATGTCCTAGAACTAGCTGTGTAGACCAGGCTGCCCTTGAACTCCTAGAGATCCACCTTCCTTTGGCTTTCTCTTCTGTCTCTTTGATTCATTCTGGGGTCCCAGCCCGTGGGACGCTGTGACTTAGGTCCGTGTGGTCTTCCTCTCTCAGCTAACCATCTCTGGAAATATTCTTAGATGCAGCCTAGCCATCAGACAGTGTCCCAGCCTCCTCTTCCTCCTTTTCTAAGTCCCCTACTGTCCTAAAGACCTAGGTTCCGAAAGCCGCTTCTGGCTGGTTCTAAATGGCTCCTCTCACATGGAGCCCTGCTTGCGCTGTTAAATGCCACAGCTAAGCCTGGCTCCCCCCACCTCAAAAGTTGATGTTTAGCACCCATCTCCAACCAGTTGCTGTTAAGTTTATCCTGGGGGTTTTCTGTGCGTTGGCTCCCTCTCTCTCCTCTCCCAGCTTTTCTCTCTTCTTTCCCCTTACATTTTGTGTGTAAGTGTGTGCAGGTGCGTGTGCCTGTGTATTTTGTGTGTAAGTGTGTGCAGGTGTGCCTGTGGAAGCCGGGGGAACAACATCCTCGGGCACCGCGCACCTTGTTCCTCCGACCGGGTCTCTAGGCTAGTGAGCCCCAGAGATCTGCCCATCTCTGCCTCCCCAGTGCCGAGAGGACAAGCTTGTGCCTGTACATCTGACTTTATCTAAGTTTCTGGTATTGAACTCAGGTCCTCAAGCCTGCACAGCAAACCCCTTGCAGGCAGAACCGTTTCTCTAGCTTTTTTGTTTTTGCTGTTGTTTGGTGGTGGTGGGGGGGGGGGGGCGGAGGGGCGTGGTATAAGCCAGGGTTTCTCTGTGTGGCCCTGGCTGTTCTGGAACTGGCTCTATAGACCAGGCTGGCCTAGAACTCACAGAGATCCGCCTGCCTCTTCTTTCCCAGTTAGTGCTAGGATAAAAGGCATGTACCACCATGCCTGACTTTTCTCTGCTGGTTTTTTTTTATATTTATTTATTTATTTATTTATTATATATACAATATTCTGTCTGTGTGTATGCCTAAAGGCCAGAACAGGGCACCAGACCCCATTACAGATGGTTGTGAGCCACCATGTGGTTGCTGGGAATTGAACTCAGGACCTTTGGAAGAGCAGGCAATGCTCTTAACCACTGAGCCATCTCTCCAGCCCTTTTCTGCTGTTTTTTGAGACAAGGCCTGGTGTTGTAGCCTTGGCTGGCCTTGAACTAATTTGGCTAGAAAATATGGTGATCCTCCTGCCTCTGTCCCTCAATTGTTCATCTCATCCAACCTGCTTTAAGCCTGCTGTAAACAGCCTATCGTGTGCACCTGTATGCCTGGCTGCTCACTTGTTTCTACAGAACTCCACATTTTGTCTGTAGGGGGTGCACCCCTGTAATCCAAACAATCAGGGGACTGAGGCAAGATGACTCAAAATTCCACCACCACCTAGCCATAATTTATTTTTAAGTAAAAAAAATAAGTATTATGAACAGGACATATCAAAATAAAAAATAATTAAAGTTTTGCTGGACCTGCTATAGCAGGACATTGGCTCAAGTCGGACAGTGGTGGCACACTCCTTTAACCCCAGGACTCGGGAGGCAGAGGCCAGCCTGCCACAGAGCGAGTTTCAGGACAGCTAGATCTGTTACATAGAGAAACCCTGGCTTGAAAAAAACAAAAATAAATAACTTAACAGATAACAGGACACTGTTTTAAAAGCAAAACCAACAAGAGCAATGGTCTTTATAAAGAAATGAGTTAGATCTAGCGAAGGGTAGGCCAGACCTCACTGAAAGCCACAGACACCTCCAGTTATCTCTAAAGCTGTATAAAACAGGGGCTGGACAGAGGGCTGTTCTTCCAGGGAACTTGGGATTCAATTCCCAGCACCCACATGGCAGCTCACACCTGTCTGCAATTACAGTTCCAGGGGATCTGACTCCCTCACACAGACAGACATGCAGACCAAACACCAGTGTGTGTGTGTGTGGGCGGGGGGGGGGGGGGAGACAGGGAAAAGACCTGGGCACACTGTGTCTCAACAGCTGTATAAAGCAGAGGTGTGCCAGGACACAGACAGGAGAGGCAGCAGTGTGAGATGTGGGCTCTCCAAACTGGTGTCCCCAGTGGCAGCGCACAGATCTCGTATACGCTTGAGAGCATGCGGCGGCAGACATGGCTCAGTTGTTCAAGCTCCCTGAGAGGACTGGAGATCAGATTTCTTTCTTTCTTTTTTTTTTTTTTTTTTTTTTTTTTTTTTTGGTTTTTCGAGACAGGGTTTCTCTGTGGTTTTGGAGCCTGTCCTGGAACTAGCTCTTGTAGACTAGGCTGGTCTCGAACTCACAGAGATCTGCCTGCCTCTGCCTCCCAAGTGCTGGGATTAAAGGTGTGCGCCACCACCGCCTGGCTTGGAGCTCAGATTTCACACCCACATGAGATGGCTCACAAACTCCTGCAGCTCCACCCCCAAGGGATCTGATGTCCCTTCACACATTAGCCATGCACACAGGGAGACACATCCACACACATGAATAAAAATAAATAAATCTTTAGAAATTTTTGGGCTGGTAAGATGGCTCAGTAGGTAAAGGCATTTGCCAAGACTGATGGCTGAAATTCAATCCCAGGGACCCACACATTGGAAGAAAAAAAAGCAAGCCTTTTAACCTACACACGCACAGGGACCATGCGTGGCACATGGAGTTTGTAAAGGCCGGAAACCGTCACGGCAACCTCCACAGCTGACATTAGAGCCTTCTGGGTGGGCCCATCTGCTGGTGCCACCCTTGCATGTTTTCCTCTTGAACAAACCCTTTCCTTCCAGGACCGAGCAGCTGCCCAGCAGCAGCTATGGATGGTGGAGGACACGCTGGCAGGCCTAGGTGGCCCCCAGAAACAGCCCCCACATACTGAGCCCAAGTCTCCATCCCCTGCACCACAAGGAGAGGAGTCCTCAGAGCGGGAGGTGAGATTTCCAGCTCCTTCCCAGGTTCCTGTCTCGCCTGTCCTAACCCAGTGAGTCCCCACCCACCTCTTTCCCTTCCCCTTGATCACCCACCCAGTCCCACAACTGTGGGGGTGGGGAGGGAGGGCATGGAATCCCTGGGACTGGTTAGAATGGTTGGCAGCCATCATGTAAATGCCGGGACTTGAACCTGGGTCCTGTGCGAGAGCAAGTGCTCTAACCACTGGGCCACCTCTTCAATCCCATCCTCTTCTATTTGCTCCCAGGACCCGGCCCCAGGCTATGGTACCATCCCCTTTCAGGCTGGGTCTTCCCTTAGCAATGAGACAGTCCCTACAGACACGCCCACAGCCCAAGCTGATGGAGACATCCCCTCAGGGCACAGTGTGTGCACTTTTGTGTGTGCACGTTGTGAGGTCAGGGACAGTTCATGGGAATCAGTTCTCGCCTTCCACTGTGTAGACTTTGGGGATGAGACTTAAATCGTCAGACATGGTGGCCAGCACCCTATCTGCTGAGAGAACGCACCAGCCCCTTATTTAGTGTATATATTGCTATTTTTCTTTGGGGAGATGTTTTTGTTTTTGAGACAGGGTTTCTCTGTGTAGCCCTGGCTGTCCTGGAACTTGTTTTATAGACCAGGCTGGCCTCGAACTCACAGAGACCCATGTGCCTCTGCCTCCAGACTGATGATATTGAAAGCTATACTACTGCCCAGTAATATATTGTTATTTATTATTCTGTTTGGTGCTCTGTGTTGTGTGAGTTGGTCAAAGAAAGAGGTCAGTCCAAGGGGGCTGTGTGGCAGCAGGAAGGCCCAGTCTCTGGTGACCTGAACTGAACAGCCACACAACGGCACATTTATTGATTATTACACAAAGTTCTTTTTTGGATAAACAAGTTCCTCATTCCCAAGTCCCTATTCTAGTTCATATATTTCTCTAGAGGAAGGTATCACACCCTGGCTACTTCAGTCCCTTTGTGACCAACTGCAGTTCCCAATAATCCGAGAGCTTCAGGTGCACCGAAAGCATTTGTGGCCAAGGTCACGCAAAGTCCGCAATGTCCCCTTCAGAAAAAACAAACCCTCGCTGCTTTCCATGGTGATTCTTCATGGACAAAGCACTCTCAGGAAGCCACCCTCCACTCAGGTCTTCCCTGCCACAGTGGCTGCTAGGTTCCTCCCACACTGCTCCGTCCGTCCACCCCAGCCACTTAGGGCATCCGCACCAAAGATGACATCAAGTGTGCTTTGGTTACCCGCCGAGGTTTTAGGGTCCTTACAGGAGCGTGCATGTGTGACTTAGACTCAAAGGCAGTTGCTCCCCTGGGAAGCCCCCCCCCCACCAAACACCACCATATCAGCCAGGTCAACACCATAGCATGGCGCCCTGTGCGCTCCTGGGAAACCTCACACGTGTGTCCGTGTTCACAGCGGCTCCGACTCTTCACATGTCAAAAGGGGCGCTACTTTTGATGTTGAACAGCTTGTTCGAAGTCACACAGCCAGTAAGTGGCAGAGATGGGGTTTGAAGTCAGTGTATCTAGCTCTGGGTTTGTCATCTTAATCTTTTCCGTGATGTGCCCCAACTGGCAAATACTTGAAAATCTGTGGTAGTAGTAATAATAAGAATGACAGACAATATTTGACCCTCACTTTTTCCTTCCAGAGCCTTCCGGAGTCACTGGAGCTTAGCCCTCCTCAGTCCCCTGAGGTGGACTGGGGTCGACCCCCAGGAGGTGACAGAGCCCTCCTCAGCCCTCGCTCAGGTGAGCACCCTGGTAGGGTGGGAATATTTCTGTGATCTTGTTCTGACTAAGTCCCCTTCTGCTTTAAGGTGTTGAGTCTCCCAGGGTCTCCCGAGCATCCAGTCCTGAAGGTCGTCAACCTTCATCCCTGAACACTAAGGTAGACACCTTAAATCTGCCTCATGTCTGTGCTCGATCACCTCTGACCTCCCAGCACTAGGAGAGGCCAGGTCGAAGACCATAACCAGAGCGGACAGGATTAGTATCTCAAATATTAGTAGCTGTGTGATTTGGGTTAGTTACTAAGCCCCTCTGAGCCTCTGTACTTGTCATCTTTGGAATGGCACTAATAGCCTCACTTAGCACAATGACATGAGATTTAAAATAAACAGGGCGTGGCTCAGTGGTAGAGCCCTGCCTAGAATCCCCCAGTGAGGGGCTGGGATGTGGCTCAGTGGTGGAGCCCTGCCTAGAGTTCCCCAGTGAGGGGCTGGGGTGTGGCTCAGTGGTGGAGCACTGCCTAGAATCCCCCAGTGAGGGGCTAGGGGCGTGGTTCAGAACAAAGCAGAGGAAGCCACAGAGAAGGAAGCCTTGGGTTCTTCTGCAGCACTTCTCTGGCTAAAAGGGCCAGCATTTTCCACTTAGTATCAAGTTATTGGGAGAAGCTGACATGCCCAGGAGCATGATGCTTCCTTGTCGTAAGACAGAGCAGGTGATGGAAGGAGGTCGAAGATGTGGTAGGAGTCAGGCTGCACAGGGAATGGGAAGCCTTTGTTCTTAGCTGCAGGTCAGGGAGGGGGGCACAGCAGCCTCTGGTGTCCAGGGGTCCTCTAAGCTCTAATGGTCTGTGAAGTGCCTGACTATTGATGGGGAGTTCCTGGGACAAAAAGAATGAGGAAACCGAAGGTTAGAGTCTTGGTCTGTCTCTCTGCAGGTCCCCTTGGCGCGGCCTCGCATGAGTGCACAGGAGCAGCTGGAGCGCATGCGCAGAAACCAAGCCTATGGGCTTCCTTTTCCTCGTCCGGCCTCTCCGAGACTGCTGACCCTGGGGAGGGCACTGTCACCAGCTGGACGCCAGCTTGATTTAGAGCAGAGGGTGAGGAAAGTAGGACCTTGGATTGGAGAGCATCTGCTCCGAAATCGAATCTTTCTTTCTTTCTTTTTCTTTTCTTTTCTTTTTTTTTTTTTTGAGACAGGGTGTCGTGTATCCCAGGCTAGCTTTGAACACGCTAGCTACTTAGCTAAGGCTGGCCTTGAACTCAGGCCTTATGCCTCCACCACTCCTGTGCGTGATTACAAGCATGTGTCACGACGCAGTACTGGGGGTAGTGCCTGGAAGGCAAGCATTCTACTGGTCAGCCATTTTCAGCTCTGCTGCTTTTCCCATTTCCTTGTTGCTAACTAAGTCATCCTGCCCTGTACTTGTGGAGGTAGTGTGGGAGAGTCTTTTCTGGGGAGAAGCCGTGTACACAGGTTCACTCAGTCCAGAACAGGAACTCTACAGACCACAGTAGACTGCACCAAGTTCCAGTTTGGTGAGCCAATGAGGTTTTACGGGGTTACTAACAGGAGTATGTGTTACCTGCCGTAGCAGGGGTAGCCTAAAAATAGCTGCATTGCCAAAAAGCCTTCCCCCATGAGTGACAGCTGACGAAAGCTGCAATGAGGGCCCTGGCTGCAGAATCTGCATGCAGCTCAGCAGTTCCGAGTGAACTCTCTGTAGCTTGACTCGCCAGTCTCCTTTTCCAGCTGTGTTTGCTGCTTCCTTAGTACAGTCGTGAAGTTTGCTCATCTTCTCCGTCTCAGGGTTCTCCACGCAAGTTCAGAGGAAACGGGTATCTCTCTTCAGTTTTCGTGCTGGACTCGGGCTCTCCTAGTTGCCATGTGACATGAGAGAGGCTATGCCTTCCTGTAACTCTCTCTTCCATGCTCCCTGTGGCACATGCTATGCCAAACGAAGTCACATGACCTAAGGGAAAGAGGGGTGGGGAGAGAGAGACAGAGGGTGGATACCTTTCCTAACCACACACCCTCTCCAGCTAGGCCCGGCTTCCTAATAGCACAGTTAGCGGTGAACTGCTGAGGTCACGGTGAGGAGAGAGGGCAGCCTGGTCCTGAAGGAAGCTGACTTATAATGTAGTCAATGAAGATTCTAGTGAGAGAGCCTCACGGCCATGGTTGGCTGTGAGCTGGGAAGGGGAGCACTGAAAACTATGGAGCCCTAACTTTATGGGAAGAGAGAGATGGCTCTTCCAGAGGACCCAGGTGGCAACTCACAGCTGTCTGTAATCCAGCTCACAGTGTATGTCCTAGTCATAAATGCAGACAAAACACCAATACACATAAAATAATAAAAAAATAAATGCAAATTAAAGAGCTAGAAAGAGAGAGGCACCCCAGAGGCATGGCGGGAGGATGGGAGGCCAGAGGAGCCTCTGCAGAGAGAAGCTGTCACCGCATGTCCCCGAGCAAGTCCTGAGGAATCTCAGACTCTTTCTCCAACAAGGCATAGGTCCGACTTTTAGGAAGTTCTGGATCATGTGATTTGGTTCAGCATAGTGCATGTGACAGGCAGCATGGAGGATCAGGTGCCACGGATATAAGCTGTCCAGTCACAGCAATGACCCTTGATTGTGAATGTCAGGGAGCCACGGCCTGATGCGGGCTGTGGAGTCAGGCCTGAAAGCACGAACCTCTTTCCTGTCACTCTTCTGTGGATGATTCATTGGTCAGATGAGCATTCTCATAGTCCAATCACATCTCAACAGCACACAGGCTTGGGACCAAGCCTGACACATGAGCCTCTGGGGATATTTATATCCGAATCAGAGGAGCTTTTGTAGGGAAGGATTAGACCTGCTGCGGGTGTGGGCAGGGCTTCGTAACCTTGATCTTCTCCAAGAGCACAGGTGAATTCAAATAGTGTGTCTCTGAGCCCCCCACCTAACATCACCATAAAAAGTACCCCCAGTGAAGCTGATGCACAGCTCGCACCCCAACACTGAGGACAAGGAGGTAGGAGGATCAAGGTCATCTTCCTCTACATAATGAGTTGGAGGGCACTCTGAGCTACAAAAGAACCTGGCCGAAAAGTATGGGGGGACCTGGGGAGATGGCTCATTGAGAAAAGGGTGAGGGGACCTGGGGAGATGGCGTTGGAGCTTCAGAACCCATGTATAGAGCCTGGGCCAGCAGTAGATGTCTGTAATCCCCACGGTGTGGAGATGGGAGGTGGGATGCTTAGCTCCCTGGAATCCCATGGATCAGCTAGTACAGAGAGTCTCTCTGTCCTGCCAGCCAGCGCCCAAATCACAGCACAGAGATTCATTAATAATTATGAAAGCTCGGCCGGTAGCTCTTATTTCTGTCTAGCTCTTGTAACTTACATCAAGCCATTATTTTTCTTCTGTACGGGGCCCTGGCTTTACCTCTCATCCTGCTTGGCTTGCTTCCTCTGCATCCTGCCGGCCACTCCCTTCTTCCCAGAGTCCTCTCCGTCCTGAAAATCCTGCCAAGCTAGTGGCTGGTCAGCTGTTCTATCAAACCAATCAAAGTGACACATATTCACAGTGTACAAAAGTATTATTCCACATTTCCCCCCTTTTGTCTAAATAAGAAGGAGAGGTTTCAACTCTAGCCCAGCAAAACTTATACAATCAGAACAGTTACCAGGTAGGAGTTACACTGCAGTGTCTGGCCCCTTAGTGTTTGGCATTTGGAGTTCTATCCGACGAGCCCAACACTCTGTACTAGTATTTTCTGTCCTAACTAAGGAAAACTGCAAGCATAGCTACCTAGTCTCCCACTCCATCAGGAGCGTGCAATATTACCTTAGTAAACAGGAAGTGCGGACATCTCTCTGCAACACTGGAGCATCCAGTCTTCAGCCTACAGGCCTACAATATCTGGCAGACCTTTCTTCTTTTATCTTCTTTTCTTTCTTTCTTTCTTTCTTTCTTTCCTTTTTTTCAAGACAAGGTTTCTCTGTAGCTTTGGAGGCTGTCCTGGAACTCACTATGTAGACCAGGCTGGCCTCGAACTTACAGAGATCTGCCTCTTCTACAATGTAACATATTTTTGACTTACATTTGGAAGTTAAGACATTTAAAAAAAATAAATATAGGTTGGTTTAATTCAGAAGATTTTATGAAAATCCAGGGTCTCTCAGCAGCTGTTGTTCGTGTATCAGCAACCAGACATTGAAGGAGAACACAATAACACACAGGACGCAGGCGCCTGGGGAATACACAACACAGTAACACACAGGACCCAGGTACCTGGGGAATACACAACACAGTAACACACAGGACCCAGGTGCCTGGGGAATACACAACACAGTAACACACAGGACCCAGGCGCCTGGGGAATACACAACACAGTAACACACAGGACCCAGGCACCTGGGGAATACACAACACAGTAACACACAGGACCCAGGCACCTGGGGAATACACAACACAGTAACACACAGGACCCAGGCCCCTGGGGAATACACAACACAGTAACACACAGGACCCAGGCCCCTGGGGAATACACAACACAGTAACACACAGGACCCAGGCCCCTGGGGAATACACAACACAGTAACACACAGGACCCAGGCCCCTGGGGAATACACAACACAGTAACACACAGGACCCAGGCCCCTGGGGAATACACAACACAGTAACACACAGGACCCAGGCCCCTGGGGAATGCACAACACAGTAACACACAGGACCCAGGCCCCTGGGGAATACACAACACAGTAACACACAGGACCCAGGCCCCTGGGGAATACACAACATGATAACACAACACACAAGATCCAGGCCCCTGGGGAATACACAACACGATAACACAACACACAAGATCCAGGCCCCTGGGGAATACACAACACGATAACACAACACACAAGATCCAGGCCCCTGGGGAATACACAACACAATAACACACAGGACCCAGGCCCCTGGGGAATACACAACACAATGACACACAGGACCCAGGCCCCTGGGGAATACACAACACGATAACACAACACACAAGATCCAGGCCCCTGGTGTTCCCCATCTCTGGATGGCTTATTCTTTTCTTTATTACTTTACTTCCTTTAAAGACTTTATTATTTTTGGGCCAGGCAGTGGTAGCTCACGCCTTTAATCCCAGCACTCAGGAGGCAGAGGCAGGTGGATCTCTATGAGTTTAAGGCCAGCCTGGTCTACAAAAGCTAGTTAGGCTCCAAGGCTACAGAGAAACCCTGTCTCAAAAAACAAAACAAAGCAAAAAAGACTTTATTATTTTTAAACTATTTTTGACTGTCTATATCCCTTTTCTTTTTTTCTTAAGCCTACATGGTTGTTAAACACACAGTAACCTGTTTGGAGGCTGTTCTGTCTGAACCTGCTTTACTGCGTATCTGTAACCTTTCCTGTCTGCATGAGCAAAACCTTAAACTGCCAAGCAGCTTAGCTCACCGTGCGCTGGCAGCTCAAGCCCTCAGGCTGCGGCCAGGAGACCTCTCTGTACCTTGGACTGCATGAGAGACTGTGGGACTAGCAAGCCACGTTTGACCACATTTTTGTGTGTTTGGAACCTTTTGTAAAGCTTTCTCAGGTTTTTATGGATTTAGGTGCCTGGACGTCGGGTGCTGTTTGTAGTCAGGCCTTTCTTTGGCCCCCATTTCACAAACAATGACGTGGAGACCATTAATGGTGAACACTGACAGCCTCGGTTTCTTTCTGATTAGGTCTTATACTTTAATTAACCCTTTGCTATGCATCTGTGTGGTGCCGCACGGCTCATGGCTTCTACCTCTCATCCTGCTTGTCTTGCTTCCTCTGAGTCCCTCTGACAACTCCTTTCTTCCCAGCATCCTCTCTGCCCCCCAAATCCTGCCGAGCTGTTGGCCGTTCAACTTTTTATTAAACCAATCGGAGACATATATTCAAAGTGTACAGAAAGATTATTCCACAAGTTAGTCTGGCAACTTGCTGAGGTTCTAGGCCAATGAGAGATCTTGTCTCAAACCAAGGTGGAGGATCAGAGAAGGGACACCCAAGGTCATCTTCTGGCCTTCCTAAGCACCCGTGCGTAGATCGGGAGGGAGGGAGGGCTGAGGAGAAGAGAGGAGAAAGAGAGGGAGAGGCTGGGGAAGGAGGCAGAGAAAACAGGGCTTCAATGGCAAGAATTCTACCTTTTCTTCCTTCCCTTCCTTCCTTTCTTCCCCTTTCCTTTTTGCTCCCCTCTTTTTTCCCCACCACACTCTCCTTTTATTTCCATTTGGACACAATCTCATGAGTACTCTGACAAGGCTGGTCTTGAACTTCTGACCATTCTCCAAGGCAAGATTCTAACTACCCAATTCCTTCCAGCCTGTTGTAGGAGCTGCACAATGGCTCAGGAGTTCTGGATCCTGGAGTAGGTATGGAACCCAGTGTGAGTGGAGATGAGGGGTGGTCTGGATGCAGACAGGGCAGCAATGGCATTAGCACAGTCCCCTGTGCCCCAAACACAGCTCCAGAGACCCTGAGTTCCTATGGCATCTACAACAAAGCCAGGAAGCCCCTCACACCTGGTCAGGGACTGCAGAGCTCCAAAGGCCTGCTTCATTCAGTAATGACAACCTTACTGCTGGTCTGCCTGCAATGCCTAGGGCCTGGCTTCAGAGTCCGCTAGACACAGGCTAAGAAACACAGCTCCCATCAGGCCTTTGGGGCTTGTTTGACTTGACACCGTGGCTTATTTTCTGTAGCTCCAGGCCCTCCACAACCTGCATGCCAACACCCAGAGGCCACCGGGAGCGGGTCCTCAGTCTCTCCCAGGCCCTAGCTACAGAGGCTTCCCAGTGGCGCAGGCTGATGACTGGTGAGGTGCCCAGGATCTGCACCCCTGGGTCAAGGGTGGAGGCCTGGAAATGTGGAGCTTGGAGGTCTAAGTTAACACTTCTCCTTCTCCATTTAGGCTCTCCGGGGGTAAATTCGGACTCCAGGGGAGACTGTCTCCCACCAGGCTCACAACCTCCCAGTGAAGAAGTGCACCAGGTCACCTCGTCACCAGCGTCTCCCAAGGCTAACTCTGCCCCAGGGAACAGGCGAGGCCTGGCCCAATGGGAACCCAGCTGGGACCCTGGGAACACCCCTGCTGCTCCACTGCAGGATCAGGGGGCGTGGCCCCTGAGAGTCACTCTGCTGCAGTCCAGTTTTTGACTTTCTCTTTGCACACTGCTCCTGTGTGACACAAGTTGTATGCACAGCCTTGAGGTGTAAGATCAGTCAGGACCACAGGGGAGAAGTGTATTCCAACAGGTGTTCTAGGAGGGCTGGAGCTACAGTGGTCAGACTGATTATCCCCACACTGTCCAAACTATTAGTCAATAAACATCTTTATTCTCTCTGAGGCTGTGCCATTGTGATCAGGGCCTTAGGTTCACAGGTATAGAGAAACCTACCTGACACCATTTTGAAGGCAGGAGCCGTTATGCTGTGTTTTTAAAAACAAGTTTCTATTTACTGTGAGAGTTGAATTGCTCTCTGTTTCTTGGAACCTGACCTTCCCCAACCCATGATGTTATTTGGTTTTGAGAATACCCTGGCCCTCCTTGACCCCTTGGAGGGTAACCATAGCATGAAAGTTTCTTTAAGGTTTTTTAAATTCCTTTTGGGCCCATTGCCTCCACTCTGTCAAACTACTCATGCTTTTACCCTTCAAAGGGGCCCACATGGATTCTCTGCTGTTCTTTTTAACCCAATTTAGGAGGCAGTTGTTGGCCAGCTGTTCCAGGCACCCCAACCCCAATAAAAATCAAGTTTGCTTCAAATTTTGCTTAAATTGTGGTAGTGGTCTTATTCTTGCCATTTGGAATTGACATTTTTTGGAGGCCCCTGATGTGGGATTCTCTGTATGCTATGAATAGGTTTTATTTCCGTTGGTTAATAAAGAAGCTACTTTGGTCTAGAACCGGGCAAAATATAGCCAGGCAGGAAAACTAAACTGAGTGCAGGGAGAAAGAAGGCAGAATCAGGCAGATGCCACGTAGCCGCCCAAGAAACAAGATGTGAGGTAACAAACCACGAGCCTTGTGGTAAAATATAAAATAATAGAAATGGGTTAATTTAAGATGTAAGAGCTAGCGAGGAATACACCAAAGTTTCTGTGTAATTATTCAGGTCTGGATGGCTGGGAAGTGAAGGCAAGGTCTCCATTTACCTGCTTCAGTAAGATTCAGACCACACACCAACATTCTAAACCTGGACCTCACTTCAAAACTTCGGGGGCTGACTCGGGAGACACGTACCTTGAGAGGCTCCAAGGCTCTGGGCTGCCTTCAGCTCAGGGACTAACAGGGTGAATTTTTTGTGCGAAGAAAAGCAGCAAGCAGGCATCTACGGAGGCCTCCTGGTGAGATACAGGCTCGTTCTGTTTTGTGGGACCCCTATGGAGGCCTCCTGGTGAGATACAGGCTGGTTCTGTTTTGTGGGACCCCTATCTGGGATGTGTGTCAGGTTAACAGGACGCAAATATTTTGTTATTCAGGGAAAAAAGCAAGACATCACACTGCCCACCTAGGGTCTTGGTCTGGTTTTTATGCCCAGTTTGTCTTGTTTTTGGCTTCATTTTACTATCCTCCTCCTGCCTTTTGTAGTTTCTGTGTGAATTGGATTATTTTGGACTTGGGGTGACTGAACTGATGGACAGTGTGGGTATTAAGACTTGCGAGCCTGCCGGGCAGTGGTGGTACACGCCTTTAATCCCAGCACTCAGGAGGCAGAGGCAGAGGCGGGCGGATCTCTGTGAGTTCGAGGCCAGCCTGGTCTACAGAGTGAATTCCAGGACAGACTCCAAAGCTACAGAGACCCTGTCTAGTAAAACAAAACAAAACAAAACAAACAAAACAAAAGACTTTCAAGCCTAGCCACTCTTGAAAACTGTGTTCTAAAGGATTTATTAGACTTTGCCCACTATAATAAGGAAGATTATGATTATTCTACCACCAAGCACTGCTTTCGAACATTCTATGACCATGAATGGCCCACGTTTAGGGTTGCCTGGCCTTCCCAGGGTACTTCTAATTCTTAGATAGCCTGGACAGAGGTCAACGTCACCCATGGTAAGCCTGGCCATCCAGATCAGATTGGGTTGAAGTTACTTCGGCCTGAACCCCTGAATGACAGTCTGGATGGTCCGCAGTGGGCTAAACCCTGGGTGTCAGCAGACGGACCTTTTGAGGGCCTGTAGCAGAGACCAACAAGCCTCCTCTACAGACAATTCTGCAGGACTCACAGGAGGAAGAATCCTTTCCCTCGTATAACCATATTTACCTTCCTCTCCCCTCTTCACTTCAGCCATCCCAGTCCCAACCACCAAGACCTCACTCTGCCCCCCATCTGTACCTACCCCCACCCCATCTAGTCTTCCCTGCCTCCCCTGACTTTCCTCTTCCGACACCCGTCAGGAAGTCCTATATGACCCTTCTAACTTCTCTGGCTCTGGGGTGGCACCTCCTTCAGTCCTCACTCCCATACCGCCATTTACTGACCATTGCTACCTGTATGTCCCTTTCTCCAGCAGAGATCTCTACAACAGGAAGAAACAGAACCCCCTTTCAGCACTAGTTCCAGTTCCTTAACCTTTCGAATTGATTCTCTTTTTCATTGATCTCCCCATGTGGGACGACTGTCAGCAGATTCTCCTCCAAACAAAGAGAACAGGTTCTCGTGAAAGCAACTGAAGCACTCCCTGGATTTGCTTGGATGGCTGATGACCAGAGGGCAGAGGCAGCTGGCCGTGCCCTGCCAAGGAGGAGAGGTAGAAGGTCACTCAGTGATCACCAGGTCTGATAGAGGGGATGGAACAGGCTTCCCAGAAGCCCACTGACCTAGCTAAGGTAACAGACGTGAAAGAGGGCTCAGATGAATTAATCACCTTCAGCCTTCCTGGAGCAACTCCTGGACGCCCATCTGTTACACACTCCTATAGACCCAGAAGACCTGCCAAATCTCAAAGCACTTAACCTGGCCTTTGTTGCTCAATCGGCCCCTGACATGCGCACAAAGATACAAAAGATGGATGTGTTTGCAGGAAAGAACAGGTCAGAGCTATTAGAGATATCCCAGAAGGTGTTTGATGATAGAGACAGCAAAGATCTTCTGGTAAACGAGATGGGTGTGCTACCTTGGCTACACTACAAGCCCCAGCCATCAACTCTGCCCATGCATACCATGATAAAAGGAGAAGACCTTTACTAAAGGACCAGTGTACCTACTGCAAAGAAATGGGCCATTGGAAAATGAATGTCCATACTGGAAACAGGTAGACCCCAAACCCAAGCCAATCCTAACTATGGTGGCTGAAGCTCCTTTGAACTAGGCCCCTGGAGTCTATGGTTACCTTCACCATAGGGGGACAACTGTAAAATTTCTGGAGGACACGGGGGCTACTCATTCAGTATTGCAGGAGCCCAGGGACCCCTTACCAACCAAACAATGGTAGTACAGGGGGGCAACAGGGGATGTCAAAGAACACAAATGGACCACTTACTGGACTATTAACTTAGGACAAGAAACTGTGACTCATTCTTTTATTATTATTCTTGAATGTCCCTACCCTTTACTGGGGGGGCTCTTGAGCAAGCTCCAGGCAACAACGTTGTTCTCAGGAGACTCCCAGGTTGCAGTGAGGACTACCTGCGCCTCCAGACCCAACCCATTTCCTGGAAGGGGAATGGAGAAAGTTACAAATCCAGGAAATTCATAAAGTTTGGGCAGAGAGCAATCCTCCTGACTTGGCAAAGCGTGTGCCGCCACCGTAGTGCAACTAACGCATGGGGAAGTGGCCGTTCCAATCAAGCCATATCCCATCAGTTCGGAGGCAGGGAAGGGCCCAAGATTCATATCAGGCAGTGGCCATTCAAATCAAGCCATACCCATCAGTTCGGAGGCAGGGAAGGGCCCAAGATTCATATCAGGCAGTGGCCGTTCAAATCAAGCCATATCCCATCAGTTCGGAGGCAGGGAAGGGCCCAAGATTCATATCAGGCAGTGGCCGTTCAAATCAAGCCATACCCATCAGTTCGGAGGCGAGGGAAGGGCCCAAGATTCATATCAGGCAGTGGCCGTTCAAATCAAGCCATATCCCATCAGTTCGGAGGCGAAGGAAGGGCCCAAGATTCATATCAGGCAGTGGCCGTTCAAATCAAGCCATATCCCATCAGTTCGGAGGCAGGGAAGGGCCCAAGATTCATATCAGGCACCTCCCTGAAGCAGGCATATTTATTCATTATTATTCATACTTATTCCAGTCAGCCTGAAACAGCCGCTGATTGTCTGTCCAAAGCCAGGCTATGGACCAGTACAGGACTTGAGGGAGGTGAACAAGAGGGTAGACTCCATTCATCCAACTGCTCCGAATCCCTATGCCTTGCTCATGTCATTACCCCCAGAGCAGAAGGTCTGCACTGTATTTCATTGGATTTAAAAGATGCCTTCTTCCCCGTCCCTCTGCTGAAGTCCAGTCAGCCTGTCTTCACATTCAGAGGGGCTGAACCCGAACTGGGGATATCAGGACAACTAGCCTGGACCACACTGCCTCAAGGATTTAGAAACCCCACCATCTTCAACAAAGCACTGGACCAGGATGTAAGGCTCTTTTGTACTAAGTATCCCGAGGTAACCTTGTTTCAGTATGTAGATGATTTCTTTTTGGCTGCTAAGGATGAGGAGAACTCAAATAGGAGCCACCAGAAGCCTTTTGGAAACTCCATCCCAGTTAGGCTACAGAGTTTCTAAAAAGAAAGCTCAAATGTGCTCACTGCAGGTTCCTCACTTGGGAAGGGAAAAGACTGCTCTCCTGCGAAGCAGCCACACTGCAATCCCAACTCCAGCCACCGGGGAACAAGTTAGGGAATGTCTGGAGCTGGGGAATGTTGCCGTCTTTGGATGCCTGGGTTTGCTGAAATTGCCAAACCCACTACTCTGCTATGGCCAGGGCCATTGTTTGGAATGGACTGAGGAACATAAACAGGCCTTTAAGAACTTTAAGAGGCCCTGGGACAGGCTCCCATATTAACTTTCCCTGGTGTCTCCAAGCCCTTTCACCTTTATGTCCACAAAAGAAAGGGAGTCCTAGCTGGGTGGTGGTGGCGCACACCTTTAATCCCAGCACTCTGGAGGCAGAGGCAGGTGGATCTCTGTGAGTTCAAGGACAGCCTGGTCTACAGAGCTAGTTCCAGGATAGGCTCCAAAGCTACAAAGAAACCCTGTCTCAAAAAACAAAACAAATAAAAAAAAAAAAAAGAGGGGCTGGAGAGATGGCTCAGAGGTTAAGAGCATTGCCTGCTCTTCCAAAGGTCCTGAGTTCAATTCCCAGCAACCACATGGTGGCTCACAACCATCTGTAATGAGGTCTGGTGTCCTCTTCTGGCCTGCAGGCATATGCACAGACAGAAAGAAAGAAAGAAAGAAAGAAAGAAAGAAAGAAAGAAAGAAAGACAAAAAGAAAGGAAGGGAGTCCTGACTCAGAGCCTGGTCCTGGGAAAAGCTGATAGCATCCATCTCAGAGACTCGATACTGAAGCCTCTCAGATGACCTCCTTGTTTAAGTTCCATTGCAGCCACTGCAGTTCTTGTAGAAGCTGACAAGCTCACGTTGGGTCAGATCCACGCGCTGTGGAAGCCCTGCTGAGAGATGCCACAAACCAGCAGATGACTAATGCCCTTCTGACCCAGTACCAAGCCCTTCTTTTAGAAAAGGACAGTCTGACATTTGATAAATCCTTGGCCCTTAATACTGCTAC